ATTTTCTCCTCCCAAATAAAACTAAAATATGATTTTCTATGTTGGAGTGGAAAACATACATTACATAAAAAATGCAACAAAAATTATTTGCATTTGGTGGCAACACCTTGAAGGACAAAAAAAAGCTGCCTTTTTAAATGATTTGTTTGACACCAGGTACAACTGGCTGCGCTGTTTCCTCTCATTACCAACAGCTTCATCCATTGTTAACATCCCATACAGGCTTAGCCCTGGGCAGTGTGGGTAACACAGGGCTGTATGAGTCACTTGCTAAGGGCCTCATTAGACAGAGATGCGTGGCTGATAGGAAACTGTGTAACACTGATAAGGCCGAGCACAATACAGTCCTCTGACACTGTATTTGTCATGGTGCAGATGTTTCAGGCACTGTAAATGTGAACTTTTAAGCCTCAGATTCCACAACCTATGGCTGAATGTCGAGCCCTGCAATCCTATATCCCAGGACTTATGTTCACATGCAACTATTGTGCATTAGCAGAGGACTTTGGGGGGAAAATATGAGGCTGGATTAAGTTCCACATGAAGGCCCATACTTCCCAGAGCACTGGAGAGTTAATGAATATGTGACACTGATCCATGGCGTGTTTGTTTGAACTTGCTTTAGGCATACATTTAAGTGAAAAAGACCTTACAGATTTTCTCACTCTCTGAAGCAGCATAGTCTCTTTATCTGAACTACATTACAATGGCAGTAAGAGGCCACCACAGAGCTGCATAAAATCATGAACCTGAAACCTCACTCGGAGTTTCTGTAATGTTTCTCACATATGATTCTTCTTTTTAATAGATATTAAAAGACTTCACATGCTGCACTTGACTGAAGAAAAGCTGAACAAGATTTCATTCAGATGTCTCCCCGTGCGACGTGTTTCTCTGCAAATCTGTTTCGTGGTCCTGCATAATGTCTAAATTAGGGGTTGTTGTAGTTTTTCAGCTCAAAAGTAAACACATACTGTATCTTTGAGAGAAAAAAACATCCCCAGCAATGAAGATTCAGTTTTAAAAAAGCCTGGAAATGACAGAGAAATACTTAGGAACTGCAGAAAATAAGTTTTTATTCTATCCGGACAGAAAAACAAAGAAACTTACTTTTATCTTAAAGCAAACTTTTCTGAGTGCTGACCATAAACGTTATATTTTCATAAATCTTTCACATTCCCCTCATCTGGTTACAGCCTGGACCAGCTCAAGACCCCTTTTAACATTGAGCAGGATGTAAACAGGGGAGGGGTGGACAAACTACAAGCTCTGTAATAAAGTGATTGTATCTTTAAATCACTTAAAAACATATTGCTAGAACATTGAAATCTCATGTTGTAGTTTTTACTGGAACAAGCTTCCATAAAATTCACTTTTATTCAGGGAAAGCTTCGCCTTCTCTTACTGACTACGCTGTAAAATGACTTTAACCCAGCAAAACTCGAAAAAAGACAAGTATAACAAAAAATCTTTTAAATATTGATAAGATTTTCCTTAGCTCTGTTCTTTCAGGTTGACAATCACGAACACATCCAAATCGCTCCCAAGCCTGTGTGAAAGATGAGGGAGGATCTTATCTCGCTTCATATTAGTTTAATAAAACAGCACATCTTGGTAATGTTTTCTTCATGCAAGGAAAAAGTTTAAAGGAAGCCCCATGTGTAAAAAAAAATGTGATGACAGAATTTGTGTGTGCAAGTGTAACAAAATATTAGAGATTATTTAATGTACTGAATATGAGCCTTAAACACACAGAATCAATTATATAACCTAGAAAAGAACATTTAAAAAACAGACTGACATGGACTCTGTGCTGAACACCTGATAATGGCTTGAATCTGTAACATATGTCCTGGCAAGGGGGTCTCACTGGAGTTCAGTACATCATGTCTACATGCTGGTATAAGCACATAATTGCAGCCTGGCTGAGCGTGCAGTGATTAAACAGCACCAGTTTCCGAAGCCATCACAAAGTCTCTGCAGACTGATGTGAGGGGAGGACAGTTGTTGGTGAAACTCTAGCTGAAATCCTCAGGCAGAAAAACACTGTGTCTCTAAATGATTCATGTCTGTGTGCTGCTCAGGTTTTCGATGTTTATAGGTCCATATTTTGTGGCCTCAGTGTGGGCATTTATTCATTCAGTGCCAGCCAGGAATCAAAGCTCAGACTGGGCCTTTTATGATTTAATAAGTGAGAATAAAGAAGGCAGAGAAATGACACACAAACTCCCATGACTAAAGAAATCATTTCAATATGAAGACTTCAATCAGTGAAAGGGCAAAGCAAAACGGCACGGTATTATCTCTGGATGAATTAATTCAATTTATCAGACCTGGGACAATGAATTGAAATACAGGAAACCTGATTGGCCTTGACATTTACACCCCATTGATTCCTGAAACATTTTGGCTTTCATGCAGTCAAACAGGTGTGACACTGCGCACAAAAAAATTAATGAATGTGGAAAAATATTCATTAATTTTCATAAGGGAGGGAGAGATAACAGAGCAGCTTATTACAGGACAGATGTGTCATTTTGTGTCATGTGTCATTTGGCATTCATTACAAGATGATGAATGCCAAACAGGCTTCAGATTGAAGCATTATCCTCATCTGCCGCAGGGAAACCTCCTACCCAGATTGTTTGGTAATGTTATGGAGACTGTTTGGAAAGAGTTGCTGAAGCTTTGGCAACACATGGCCAAAGGCTTCAAACCACCAGGAAAATTAAAGCAACACTCCCACTAATTACTGTACATATTTTCTCTGGATGTTTCTGTGGCTAAATTATCAAATTGCAGACTTCATGTCTAACATGATAACATCTTCAAGATAAATGTTTGTGCCTGATTTCAGAGACTATAACGACACTCATTTTAATCCTGTTTCTGCACACAAAGAGAGCAGCTAGCTTATATAATACTTTCTAGGAAATACTAAAAAAGTATTTTTCTAAGCGCTTTCCATCTGGGGTAGGAACTGAAATGACTTTCTAAGGAATGTCAAATAATATTATGGGTTTTATCGATAAAAAATTACTGTTGTTGCTTGATATACTTAGCCTCTGTGAGGCCTCTGAAAGTGTTACTTAGAATTTTCCAGTTCAAGGAAAAGACGTAATGATTACTCAATGATGAATAAAATAAAAAGGGATTGTTTTGCAAAAGACTTTGCCATGCTTAACCGCAAAGTGTCAAGAATTTAAGCCATACTCCGATGGTATGATAATATATCTCAGAGTCTAAGCTTAGACCCGGTTACAGGATTATTTTTCATACTTAGAGTTGTCACAAAGGATCACTTCTCCCATTCTCAAATGAAACGGTGATCAGTAAGGCTGGCCCAGCAAGGGAATGACCAGCAAGTCCACTTCTATGGAAATTTCATTTTCAACTCTCAGGTTTCTGGTTAGAGTTCGAGATCTAACAGAAAGTTAATTATTATGGGCTGACTTGGTTAATCTACCGACATCAGGTAATGTCTATTCTATCTCTACATCATGTCTTAGTTTCCAATGACTGTACCAAAATATGACCTCATTATAGCAGATTTGGCTTTAATATCCATGATCACATTTTTAAAAAATTATCTGTGCTATTTTTGTTACTTTGCTTGAGGTAGGCTTCGACTTCTGAAAAATGATTCACTGAATAATCAATTACACAGCCTAGCATGAGATTCACATTGTGTATTTCACATTAATATAGCATCTAATTTGCCATGAAGGAAGTGTTAAAACATAATGTTGTGTCTGTATGAAGTTATTTACCAACACTGTAAACTGTTAATGTTACCTCTGTTACCTCTCCTCCTCCCCAGAGAGTTTTTCAGTCTGTTGTTTCTGCACTTGGGAAGGAGCAGTATGTCACTGAACAGGATCCTCTGGTTGATAATGACAGTGTGGAGAGGGTGACAGGCATCGTCCATCATGTCCAGTTGTTTGTCCATAGTCCTCTTCTCTGGTCCTGTCACCGAGGAGTCCAGCTTCATGTCAACTACAGAGTTGGCTTGTTTGATCAGTTTTAGTTATTTGATATGAAAGTGATTTTTAAAATGATGGCCTATACTGGTCTGACATAACTGAATTTAACACCAACTGAATTATAGTCTAAATAAACCAACCGATTTCATAGCAACACTATGGAAAGTAGGAGGTACAGTTGAAACCAGAATATCTTTTCCTGATATCTTGGCAGATTTCTTTCGATTTTTCCCATGATGTTACACAAAGAAGCAGTGTGTTTCAGGTGTGCCCTAAAATACATCCACTGGTGTGTCTCTGAATAACTCAAATGTTGTCAATAAACCTATCAGAGGCTTCCAAAGACATGATATCATCATCTGGTCTTTGCCAAGTTGTTTAAAGGCATAATCATCTTAGCGTATGTAAACCTTTGACTCTTGAGAAAGTGATAAAAATTGTCTAAAAAATTATCTCTCTCATTATTTTGGCATTTAGCATAAAAAATAATTTTGGTAATCCTAATTGACCAGAAACAGGAAAAGTATAATATGATTAAATGTTAGACAGTGAGGAAAAAAAAGGTTATGTGCCTTTTTATATCGTGTATGTAAACTTCTGGTTTCAACTGTAGCTTACTGTGCCAGATTTTTCTATACAAGGGCACACATTACAGATCCAGTTGGCTAGATAGGACTAAGCTTATGAAAAGTGTTTTAACAGAGGACCTAAAGGTGCAACAAACTCGACCATTTTGGATTTTGTTGTCAAGAGTGCTAACAAGAATCTGGTTTCATTCAAAACCTACAGTCTATGTTCAAAACAGAAAGGCTCCATCGAAGAAACAACTGGTCTTTTGAGGTATTAGACTTAAAAAAGTGTACACATTTTACTCAAGATGTGAAGCAAAATCAATGACACAGGAGTCGTTGGGAAACAATTATTCAAAAGATCAAACAAAACAAACTAATTTTAGATGTTATTTTAGATGCTAGTTTCCGTTTAGCAATCTAGAACTACAAATCGCCACCGGAAGTTGTCAAAGTGACGTAAGAGGCGTCATGCGTCCCTTCAAGCGGGACTTTCAGTGTTCCTCACCGCTCTTATGCAAGTTCTATGTTGGTTTCTATTAATCGTTTTTGTGGAACAAAATGGCTTTTCAGATCGATCCCGATTTGCCATCTGTCCTTGCCCCTCTAAAAGTAAGTTGTCTGTTTTTTCCGAAATATATTTGTTTGCTTAATAGGCTGTCGTTAGCTCTTAGCTATACGCCAACCAAAACAGACAGGTCCCTCAGTAGAATACTAGCAGGCGTTACACAACGACTCCCTTGTATAAATTTAAGCCAATTTAAGTTACAACACACAGAGAAATATACAGGTGTTTTAGCGACTGTTGATTTTTGTGCTTGGGCAACGTGGCGATGTGACAAATTCACCAACTAGTTGCTACGGAGCTACAATCTGGACAAATCTGTAGTGTTACCTCATCTTACCTTACCACGGTCCATTGACTAGCTGTGTCACATTTGGTGGTAAACCCACTATTCCCGCGCCCAGATGAAAAAATGCACAGCGCCAAAGTGATCAAACAATCATTTACCTCAATAAAATAATATTCATGTTGCCAGCAACTCAGCAAAATGTGTTAATCTTTTTCATCATTGATGGTTAATCTGAGTTTTTCATAACTTTGCCTGAGTGTATGAATCAGCAATGCAGCTAAGTCTTTGATTTGTACACATGCTTAGATCCATTTTTCTGATTATTCGTCAAGTATTCATGTTACATCTGTACATGGTAGTTGTGTTGTCTCATGAATATTTTGTTCCCCCTGTGATTTCTCTCCTCTGCAGCAAATTGACACCCTGCTCAGATGTCCAGTTTGCTTCGACTATCTCAATATCACAATGATAACAAAATGTTCTCACAACTGTAAGTAACCAGTGGAGCAACAGTGAATTCTTTTTAAAAAGTGCCATTAGAAGTGAAGCCATGCCTTGATCATATGAAGAACAAACCGAGCAATTTAGGGATCAGAAATATTTAGCTGTGATCATCCCACAGACGTTAAAAATTTATTTTTGCAATTGATTTCCAATCCATAAGTTTAGAGAGGGTTTTAAAGATTGAGGTTTGTTTAAGGTAGAGGGAAAGAAGATGTTGAATAATAGTGCAAATGTAGCATTTCAAGTTTGGCATCCAGCTTTTGTCTCTCCATTCATAACTCTAAGTGGGTATATACTATGTGCTTAAAGGGATATTCCGGTGTAAAATTAATTTTGAGTCAAACACACTGTAACACTGAGTTAGACACCCCCTTGAGAGATGAATGTTGCCAACCGCTTGCTTCTCTAGTTATACCAACTTAAGTAACAACCACAGGATAGCAATACACAACGGTCTGAGGAGCCATAAACAAACCTCGACCAAAAAGCCACTCTATAGCCACAAATAATGCTCAGAACAGCAACTAACTTCATCAACAGTACATATAGGGTCCCAGCCATAGCACTAGCCACCAAATATCTTTTTAACTTTGCTAATTTCTTTTGCAAAGAGACTAAATACAACTCACCTACTATCTTCCCATGGCAGCTTTTTTGTAGTGAGACCTCGGGCCAGTCCATTACGGACTACAGCGGGGTGACGCAGCTCAGGGAAAAACATTAGTGATCATCACTTTATCATTTCCTTGAAGTAACTATCACCATATTAATCATTTTGCACTGCAGCTGCTGTAGTTCTTCTGCCTAAGCGTCTCGGTCTGATTGCATTTCCATGAAGAAATTATCATAAATGTTCTTCCTTGAGCTGTGTCACCCCGCTGTAGTCCATAATGGACTGACCTGAGGTCTCGCTATAAACAAGTGGCTGCTCGAAGAGAGTAGGTGAGTTGTGTTTAGTCTCTTTGCTAAAGAAATTAGGCAAAGCTAAAAAAGATGTTTGGTGGCTAGTGCTATGACTGGGACCCTATATGTACTGTTGATGAAGTTAGGTGCTGTACTGAGCATTATTTGTGGCTACAGAGTGGCGTTTTGGTTGAGGTTTGTTTATGGCTCCTCAGACCGCCGTGTATTGCTATCCTGCAGTCGTTACTAAAGTTTTTATAACTAGAGAAGCAAGCAATCAGCAACAATTATCTCTCAAGGGGGCGTCTAATTTGGCGTTACGGTGTGTTTGACCCTGAATTAATTCTACACTGGAATATCCCTTTAAGTCAGGACCAATTAATTTAGATGCATGTATCTTCACTCACATCTTGTTTTACAAGACCTTGCATGCCTTTTTCTAATTTTGCTTTGTGATGTGTAAATAAGCACTATTTAGTTGTATGACACTTTTTAAAGGTACAGCATGCAGTGTTAGAAATGGGATATAATATGTGTGTATGTATGTTACAGTTAGTTAAGAAGTATATATTTTTCAAAAATCAAATGTTGTCTGTACTTGAATTTAAACCTAGATGAATAGTTGTCGTGCTAACCAAAACGTTAAATCTACTTTTGGGTGTTGTTTATTTCACAGTTTGCTCCTTATGCATCAGAAAATGTCTTTCCTACAAGCTGCAGTGTCCACTTTGCAATACAGTAAGTATGAATCAGCATAATCATTGAAGTCACACCTCAGATCATCAAATGAGTGTTGGACTACATCGTAACACAATGTGTTAGTAGGTGAAAGAAGCAGGTTTACCTTATGTACCATTTTTTTTTCCTTTTAGGAAGCAACAGAACAAGATTTAAGAAATAATCGTTTGTTGGATGACTTGGTCATAAACTTTCAAGCTGCAAGGTAAGCAGACGCTAGTGTAAATGGTAAATATTGAACTGTCTCTTGTCAGACAGAATTTTGTTTTTAAATGGACCTGGGTGCAAACCGCACCAGCAAAATTGATTTTTAAACAGGGATGAAAGTGATCAGAACAAATAATGTAAACATTAATGATTCTGCAGACATCAGTTTTAAATTGCTTTCAGTACAATCTGTGACAATCTGGCACAGAGTAATCCCCAAACATTTCATGGCATTGATGCAAAATTGATGCTTCAAGCTGGAGCCACGAGCTGCAAGCTTGTTGGTTGTTTCTTGGCGAGCAATAGCACAATAGCATTTTTCATCTCTATGCAATGGAATTCAAGTGTCAGACATTTTGCGCTTTAGCACAGATCACAGCAGTAATGCACAGATTAAAACAGTTTTTTATAACATATTCTTTTCCTGTGAGAGACAAACTAAGTAATTCCAATAGCTGATCCAGAAATAAGACTCACTCCACAATCCCTGTAAACCTCTTTACTATGAGCACAGGTGCATCGTCTGAACATCTCTCTGTTTTTATACATTGAGGTTCTAGGGACGTTTACCGTGAAGATTTCAGGGGGATATAGTTGTTATTGTCAAGATTAGAATAAATCCACAAGGGAACCAATTTCAGTATACTTCAATTAACCTGCATTTCAAAAGCACTTATAATTGCTTTGCATTGATCCGCACCTGGTTTTATGGATTGTCTGTAAATCAAATGGGGATTTTGTTTTAATAAGCTGGGGTTGTGCAGTGTTGTCCATGTATTGCACTTCTCCCTGTGTTGTATAGCTTTAGGGCTGTTGATTTTTTTCAGAAGATCGGGATATAGGATAAAGGGAGCAGTATCCTGACTGAGCTGGTCTAAAGGAAATTTCTTTTTCCTTTTAAATTGGAGTTTTTTTCCTCCTGTGACATTCATCACTGCGTAGGAAAACATTTTCTTTAATGTCTGGTTATTGGTAGCTTTGACCACACAGGTGCAGCTTACAGCTTGCACTTATTGATTTTCTTGGCCAGACTTATAAATGTTTGGATGTTTCATGCTGTTGTTGTGAAGAGTAAAAACAACCACCTCCAATTTGGGGGTACAGCTGGACAGCCGTGTGCCCCCTGGTGATGATCTCTTACTGATCATGTGGACTCTTTTCTGTCTCCCAGTCATTCTTTTTCCTGTCGAATGAAAAATAACAACAGAGGAGGATAGAGGAAAGGTCTCCTTAGGGTCTTACTCTTGCTATTACAGAAATACAGTGTTTCCCCTAAAATGTGTGTTCCCCGCCCTGCCAACAAGATCCCAACCTAGAAATTGAAGTCAAAGATGCATTTGATTTTTATTTTTATCAAAATGGCCTGTAGAAAATAATTTGCCCAATTTCAGACTCTGAAGCTCGCAATCGTTTCATTACTTTCAAGAAAAATGTATCTCTTTGCTCCTGTGCGAGGAGCAGGGCCCGCCGCTTGCTCTCTCTGTCTGACAATATACACGCGTGCTGACATGCCGCATGGCGTAGTTCAGAGGTGCGACATGTCAGCACCACTGATTCTGGTATTCTGGTCGCGAGTGCTTGCCACTCATACCCTGCTAGTTTTGCGCAGGATGGTTTTGACAACCCGGGGTTCCGGCTTCTTTCCATCGTGTTTGCCGCCAACAAAACAATAAAAAAATCCGTCATGGAGCATCGAGCTGTCCCCGAACCTTCAACACCCCAGTTGAAAATATCTGCATTCTTCAAAAGGACGCTTCGTAGTGATACAGACGCCACACATTCTCTTGTGGATGTTGGCTTAAGCATCTCTCCCAGCCCCCAAAACAGCGCTGACTTATCTCCCACCACCCTGTGTGGACATACATCATACGGAGTGACGTATGTCTATGTCATACGCCCCCCTCCTCCACCACCAAAACACTGAAATAGAAAAGGGTCTTTTGATGCTTTTGACTGACCTGTCTTGTAGGGTGCCTTATGGCTGTCTCTCCTTTAAGGGAAATTAATGACAAAAATGCTGTGCAGACACCCACTTTTAGTGTATCACTCTGCGTTTCCCCTGAAAAATAAAAAGCAATACAACTCAAACCAAAATCATCAGAATTGTTCAGACTTATGTAAATCTAATTTCCCTCCTTCTATCCATCGTCAATGTTGTTAATATGCTGAAAGGTCTCCCCCCAAACTTTGGAGCCTGTGATTTTTATCACAGTTGTGAGTGAGTGCCTTGTGTAGCTGTGCTTTCCTGAGTTTTTTAATTTCCTGTTGTCTAGAATTGAGTGTCTGAAACCCGTAAATCCTTGACAGATAACTGTCGTAAACTCACACTGTTATGTGGAAATAGACTTGTCTCAAACAAATGACCTTTCTTTTGGATCAATTCCTTTGTCCTTGACAAAGTGTTTAACTTTTAATTAATGATTATTTTTAATGAATGGCTATTTCTTTTACATTTAAACCCTGGACCTGGGTCAAACCTTTTTATGAAATATCTTCTTTTTGAAGCTTTCCATGTCAATATTTTCAACTTGAACAAGTTTGTTTTGATTGGATCTGTCATTTGCTTTCTCAGTTTATGTCTTTCTCGCTGTTTAAGTTGATGGGAAACGCTCCAATGGGTATCTGTCGGCCACTTGTGGTAATTACTAGCATAAAATTGGAGGCTTATTTCACAAGCCGAGGCTTAGTTGTCATTGCAGAGCAGAATGTTTGTATCACTCTGGCTCTGAAAAAGAGGCTGTACTGTGTAAAATGGTGATAAAAACAGATTTTGTCGGTTTGCAAATCATTTGCGCTCAGTATAATTTAGAAAAAAGAAAAAAAACGTGAGGTATTGAAAATGAAAGAGGTAATTGTTTAATGAATAATATAAACTCATTTTATATTTACTGCAGCAGTACCATTCTAAACGTTGTGCCATGATTCTTGACTGGGTGGTCTGGACCCAGAATTTGAGCTGTCTTCAGCAGGTTCTGGATAGGGCTGAAAGATGTGTCATGAACCCAGCTATATTGAGTCATGAACATCCAAGGCAGTAATTTCGTAAAACCAATGATACAGATTTTCCCTGAGTGAGAATAACCCACAGTTATATCATATGGTGCTCATATCAAGATATCTGGCATAAACATCGAGATATAAAATGATGTCCAAAGTGTTTAGCCTTTGTTTTGGGTTAGGGTTAGTGTCCATGCACGGTAGTTATTTTTTACACTCCAGCACCTTAATGCTTGTTGCCACTCAACAGTTAAAGAAATTTTAGAAATTTGGGTCACATACAAGTATATAATACTTGAGAACATACAATAACCTTTTTTGTGGAGTTAATGCTGTATTTATTTATTTTTTCCAAGAGGGGGTATTGTCTTTTTATTTTGCCTTTATATTGCCCCTCTTATCACATCTTAGCAACTTGACATGGTTTAGAGTTCAAAAACATATTTCAGGCTTCTGTCTTTGAAAACCCTTGTATCAGTCTCCGTCTGAGATGCTTAATTTAAGCCACTGTCCCTTTAAGGACCCCCCAGCATTCCAGAACCCAGCACTCTGGAAGCCTCTGTCATTGTTGTCTTGCAGTTCAGTTGCGTTTCTTTTTATGAAATGACAAATTTGCCCTTTTAGGGAGATTCACTGTCTGGTGATGTCCTCATCTGAGCAAGTCTCACATTGGTCTAATTGAATTCCTATGTGACTTTTTGAACAAGCCATTCAAGAGCAACCCTGTCAGAGTCCAATCTGGGGATAAACCACACCAAAACACACATAAACCTCCCAATCTGAAACTTTGCTCATGTATAGTACTGATATTTAACATTTTATCTTAACATTTGTTTTGAAACTGAAAAGAAAAAATAATAACTCATTAAGAAAATTGTAAGGTTTAGGTACATCTTCACCGTATTTGGTCAGCTGTATTTTAAGTTAAATTGAATATATGGACCAAGGATATTTAGGGAGAGTATTTGGACAAAATGGTGAATGTACAGAGGTGCGTGTGAGTGTGTGTCAGTTTCTGTGTCTGTGTGCAGAAAAATATTTGTATAAGATCCCCTACCTTGGCATCAGAGGTGCTATTGTTTCTGTTTTTGCTTTGAACACCCAGTTCTAATTATAAAAGGTTATTGTAAGGGTTAAATAAGGAATCAATATTGTGGGATTAATTGAATTAGTGTGTATTAGTGAAGTAGATAGTATTGACTTGCCTCTGGCTGTTTGGGTTATTTTCTACAGGTCTGGCTTTTGTTGTTTACTAGGCTTGAATCTGGAAGCTTAAACTTCACTTCTGCCTTCACACAGTGTTTGGATCAGACAGTGATAACCATTGTATATGTAAAAGTGTTTATTGTTATTTTTTAATCCACTTCATATACTGTAAATCTTATTCATTTGTTGGTTATTTGTCATGGTCGTTTGAAATGTGGATTGGGAGTCACTGCAAACCCTTTGAATCCATTTCAGTCACAACACCCTGAAAGACATGGTGTATATATTAGGATTAAGCTCCAAGTTGTCTCTTATTTGAAATGAGTTCAAGCCAAGCCAGAGCACTCATTAAGTTTATTTTCTGAAGTGCAGTCGTAGAGTATCCTTTTTTTTATTATGGTGTCAACACTAGAGAACAATAACTTAAACAAAGTATACTAGTGTCCTGTCTTTGTCCTTGAAGCTTTAAAGTTTTCATAGATGTTCAATTTATCAGCCCAGTCTTAATGGGCAGATAATCTTGAGCATCATCTACAAGGGATGTTGCTTTGGTTTATTTCTTGCCTAAATGTCCTCTTAAACTTTGATTTAAGAGCACTATAACAAAATCGAGGAGATACACTTACCATATAAGGCATAATAAAAAAGTATAACGCTAGTGTACCTAATAAAACAAAATGTTTGTTTGTCATTTTGCAAAGCCAAATGAACATAGACATTTGTCATAGCCCTCTGAATAAGTACAGTAACAGTAGCCATGTTTACATGGGCAAAATTTCTTGATCAGATAAAAAATTTGCGTGATTGGATAATCTGAATCCACTGTTTACATGGGTGCAAAATCAAATAATCTGATCATGATGTGTGTATACATGCACCAAGCTTTATTCAGATTAGAAGCATTTGAACATGCGAGTCACGATCAGAACAAGTGTTTACATCGACGCATTTCGGAATAACGATCGGCATAAACCATCCCTCTCGATAAGACTACAATTTTTTTCTGATTGAGCCAAATTGGATCGGAATCTTCCGATCGACATGTTTACATGATGCATTTTTATTCTGATCGGGCATTTTTATTCCGATTGTTTGTGTCCATGTAAGGGCAGCACATGTCACAATTATCATGGACAAAACAATTCACAACAATCATATGTATTATTACAGTATTTACTTTATTGACAAATGACCATGGCATATAGAAACAATAAGCAGAGAACAACAACAAGCTAAATAGCCAGGGGTGTGATGCATTAACTTGTTGATGCTATTTACTCAAGTTGAGTAAATATATTCAGTTATCTGATCTATGTTTATCTGATTACCTGATGATCAGATCCAAGCTCTTTCAGCTTCTCCTGCAAAGATCTCCTCACAAACATCTTTTTTCTTTGGTAAAGTTTCTTTCTGAATAAGATTAATTTTTTCTTGGGTTCAAAATTTCCTCCCATGACAATGAAGCCAGATTTACCTCATCACCGCAAGCTTCTGTCTTTCTGTCTTAATCAACAGGACTTCACCCCTTTTCTACCCTCTGGAGGTGTGTAATGAACCTTGGGTGCAATTAATTAAGAGACAAAATCACATCATGCAGTAAATGTCACGGCATAACTATGTGCCACTACCTTTGAACACAGAGTGTCCTAATTATGCACCGGGCTTGATCTTTAAAAATAAGGTCTTATATGCTCTTCTGACAGGTGTGATCTCCATGGTAACAGCCAGTAAACCACCTGCACTCAGCGATATTTAGAACCATTTGACACACTACGGATATGGAAAAAACCCCTTTGCTCTAATGAGGCAGAAACAGTAACATCTAATGGCTGTGATGTAAGATTATCGAACAGTTAAACTAGCAACTGCGGAGTCATATTGCAGTTAGCACTGAAAATGAAGAATATGTTGAAGATAAACAGCAGGGATCATAGTTAAGTAACTACGAAGTGCCTCTATTCACTTCTAAACTCATGATTATGAAGGCATGGCTTCATTGAGGTTTTTTTTTCCTTTTTTTCTTCCCCTAAATATTCAAATAAATCACACTTGGAGAACCTAAAATGAGGCATTGTTGTTGCTTATTGTCTGAGCTGTATGCCATGCCATTGATTAATGGTGGGAGGAGATCATATTTCTTCAGGGTCTTTGTGTAGAGAAGGAGGTCTTTCCACATCCCATTTGTGCAGAGCCGCTTTGAAAACAGCTTGTATGAATTGCCAGCGTGTGTGTGAGTGTGAATGTGTGCAAATGTGACAATGAGCGCAAATAAGTTTTAAGTATGGAAAGGTGAACATCACACACCTCATTGGTTCCATTTTATTGCTAAGTAATGGCCCGGTTGCAATTTGTTTGCTTTCCACATTTCCAAGGGTAAAGCCAAGAAGAAGAAGAAGAAGCACAGTTTGTCTCACTCTGTGGAGAGGGAAGGAGATAATTGAGTGGGCACAGTTAGCCTTGAAGGGCTCTCAACAGTATTTATCGACAAATACCGCTCCCATCATTTTAGGGCCTGTAGTATATGTGTTAAACCTATGCAATTATATTGTGACTACACTTTAATGACCTTATAAATCATTTTAAGTATATAATTTCTTTTCGTGGAGACTCAGAATGTGCTGCATGAACTAGCCTGGATTTTGTCTTTTCAAAGGGGCATGGTTGACTGCGTGCTGTAATTATATGCTGCTCACGTATATTACTCACATGCACTTTGCCTTTCCTTTTTCTTTTTCCAGGCAGCAGTTGTCAAAAGCAAATTTTGACTCTCCTCCAATCTCCCCTAAGACTCCAGCTTCAGCTGTCAAGTGCAAAACTCCCAGAGAGAAAGGCCAGAAGTCTAACAGCACCGTTTTGAGTCAATTTTTCCAAAAGAGGCCTAAGACATCTCTGTTCAAGGAAACCGAACAGGAAAGTTCTGCTGCTCATGGTGCTCAGCGGGGACTACAGACAGCAAGCATGCACAATGTAAACAATACAGATTTACATTCGGCAGCTGCCCCACTTCCAGTGAGAGTGAAAGAGGAGCCGATGGACACTGAGGTGGGGTCCATCCAGGGTTATACGTCAATCATAAAGGAAGAAACAGTCTCACATAGTGTCAGTGTGGGGCTTGAGATCGCCCATTCCTCGTCACTGCTCACAGATGTCAAGCCCGTAATCAAAGGTGAAGACTTTCTATCTGTAGGTTGAGTGTGTGTTTCTCAGTATGATTGTCCATTTACTGCCTCAGAAACTGGCAATCTTACTTGTTTGCTATCAAAAAGTGACAGAAATCCCTCTTTAAAGGTGTAGAAGCAGGAAAAGAAAAGTACAGCAGATGTAAACTTGTTTTGGTTGCCTCTGCAATCAGCATCCTGCAGCCGCATACCAGCAGTCAGCTCCTTTGTTATTTTCTCTTTCTATTCATTATAGAAGAAGAAGGCATGCTGTTTACCTTTTCAGGGGGTTTGACACAAGAACAGAGGGTTTCATGTCCAATGAATACAAACTACACTTTTAAATAATGCCAAAAGTGAATTTATTTGATTTAAAATGAGCAACATTCATCGTCTCGCCAGGAGCAACCGGTATGACAGAGCGTGTACATAAAACAGTTGCATGTTGTAAATGTTTAATAAACTTTATGCACACACTTTTCAGCCAAGGAAACAATTGAGTGACTGCAAGTTAACGCCAGGCAACCTAATAAAACTGTTAGCTTTTCTATCATAATTAAACAGAACAATATTATCGATGATGTAAGAAAACAAAAAAAGGAAAATAACTTTTTTTTAGTTCTAATAACCTCGTGGACTACAACTTAATGAGTTTCCTTCTGAGTCGGAAATTCTGGCACTGTGCCTTTTTATTTTGTGGTCTGATATTACATAAAATGTTGCAGGCAGGGGAGTGGTTTGCCCTCTCAATGGAATTTAATATGACCAAAGCACCTAAAAAAGATTGATTGTTTGAAATTAAAAAGCTTCTGATATCGTCTTGTGAATCTCTTTGCAGTGGAGTGCCCTGTGTGCTCTGTTGGGGTGCTGCAGCAGTTCATCAATAAGCATCTGGACACGTGTCTGACCAGAGGAGAGAAGAAGGATAGCTTGAGGAGGTAACAAGCTACTGCACTTAATGGACCTCCTTAGGGAAGGCTTTGTGTTGTTGTTTTCTCAATACTCAATAAGGAGACAGCGTTGGTGTCAGAAATGCTTCATAGTTTTTCTAAAGGCCAAAATCACAAGAAAAGTGTAGCAGCACATCAGTGCTGCAGTGAGATGCTCTGTAAATGACCTCAATCTGAAGTTAGCAATTCCAGTGGATGATGTTTGTAATTTGCAGATTTTTAAACTTGTCAGTTCTTGGTGTTTCTTTAAGGAAGGGAATTATGTTCATCGGTTGGACATAAGTTGGTAATGCAAATTAAAACTGCTACAGGATGACCAGAAGCCTGAGTATTTCCATTAAGTAACATAAGACCAGATGATTTAGATTTCACTTGTATTGACATTTCTGTCCTCAATCAGCTCCCTTGTTTTTGGGGCTTAGTAGCTCAAACACCTTTAACCATAAATGAGGCAAATGTTGTCGCTAGCATTGCTACCATTAATAGTTTAAGTTACTCTGTAAAAATGAACAACTTGGAGATACAGTTGCCTGGGATCTTGATCTACATTTCTCATATCAGAGATGATTGGGGCTCAGTGTCTCCTCAGGCTGCTGTCACATCTGTGTCTGTTAACCATGATCACCTACTGACTTTTTGGACCACCCTGGATTAGACATTGACATTTATGCCTCAGTGTTGAATAATTTGATGCTAATGGAAACTAATGTTTTTGCTGCTGTATCGACAGGCAGGAATAATATCCAGGTGACTCCTTCCCTATAAGACCTGTGTGATCAGTTTGTTCATAGCTTTGTTTTTACTGATGGTAGGCCTGTCACGATAACAAATTTTGCTGGACGATAATTGTGCTACAAATTATTGCCGATAAACGATATTATTGACACCGTTTTTTAAATTATAGATTATGATATTATATGGCATAATAATGCGAGTACACCGTGTCAAAAGTGATAAACTTTAATTTCCGCTGTCTGTCAGCGCGCACCATTTTGCGCTGTTTTGTTTATATTTGCTTTGCTTACCAAACGCTTCAGTAAGCGTTACCTGTCGGGACGATGGCTCCGCAGCACCTCCGGCGGTACTTTTTTTGCTCAGTTGAGAAAAATGGAGGGGATGATTGTGCTTGAGGTGCACATGCATGTTCGTCGTATTCCCTTTCTTTGTCACCACAACTTTGGAACAAATACGACATATCGGCTCGTCTGTATTTGTGGGCTCACCTCTTTTATTTGGTTTAAAGCAGTGTTGTTTTCGTCATATTTCGTCAAATATTTTCGTCAAATATTTTCGTCAACGCCAGCGTCAAAAAAGGGAAATATTGTAGTCAACGAGAACACTGGTTGTTTTCGTTGACTAAATATTTCCCTTTTCTTCCACGACGAAGACGTAACGTTGACGAGCTAAACATAAGTCAGAGATGACTAAAATGTGACAAGACGAAAGTGTGTTTACGTTGACGGGACGAGACGAAAATGACAGAGTTGCAAAACTCAGTCAGTTAAACGCTCAACATATAGGAGCAGCTTCAGTCCGCTCTGACAGCTCTCATCAGCCTGCTGTGCTCCTCCAACACACAGACACACACGCGCGCGCGCACAAACACGTGGAGTTTTGTGGTTGACGAAAACAAAACTGATTTAAAGCCGAAATATTCCCACACTTGGGCTGTTGCGTTCGGTTTAGACACCAAAGCTGTCGTGTTCATTCTGTTTGCTTGCTTTTCACTCACGACGCTCACTTGCAGCACTGTATCCAAAAAGTCTGTGTCTGTGTGCCTGTGCGCGCCAGCCCCGTCGTGACAAAGACACTGAATGACTGACAGGAGGGTTCACTAACTCCGTTCATTCCGCTATAGAGCCAACGCCCCCAGGTGCCGAGAACAATGCGCAGAGTGAGACCTCTTCTCTCATCCAGCGTGTTTGGTAGCGAGAGAGGAGGACGCACGCACGTCAATTATCGAGGCTGGCAAAATGACCGACCTCGTTTTTATTTACCGAGCGATAAGGCGATTTATTGATTATCGCGACAGGCCTAACTGATGGAAATTGGCACTATGGGGCTTTGATCAATGAGAATCAAGTACTTAATACAGCCAGATAATATTTGGTATTTCTAAATGTCATAGACCTAAAAACAAGTGATCAGATTTATAAATAATGAAAGAGATATTCCGGTATAAATTTAAGTTAGGGTCAAACACACTGTAACACCTAGTTAAACACCCCACCGAGAGATGAATTTTGCGGACGGCTTGCTTCTCTAACCAACTTTAGTAACGACCGCAGGATAGCAGTACACAGCTGCCTACGTCTCCATGTGCAAACCTCAACCAAAACGCCACTCTATAGCCACAAATAATGCTCAGAACAGCACCTAACTTCATCAACAGTGCTTATTGGGTCCCTTTAGTACAGCTGCTTGTTTGTGAAGGAGCCCCGACGAGTTGATCACCGAATGCAGCAGAGTTTTGTAGCTCAAGGAAGAACATTTATGAATATTACTTAATGGCAATGCAATCTGAGTTCTTGTGTATCTTGTATGTGCACTGCAGATGCGGTAGTTTTTTGGACTTAGTGTAAGTAATAATCATAAATTGCTCCCTGCATTTGGTGATCAACTCGTCAGGGCTCCCCCACAAACAAGCGGTTGCTGGAGGAGAGTGGGTCAGTTCTGTTTGGTCTCTTTACTGAAGAAATTAGGCAAAGCTAAACAGATGTTTGGTGGCTAGTACTATGGCTAGGACCCTATATGTACTGTTGATGAAGTTAGGTGCTGTTCTGAGCATTATTTGTGGCTATAGAGTGGCGTTTTGGTTGAGGTTCGCATGTGGAGCCATAGACCACTGTGTATCGCTATCGTGCGGTAGTTACTGCAGTTGGTATAACTAGAGAAGCAAGTAATCGGCAACATTCATCTCTCAAGGAGGTGTCTAACTCGGTGTTACAGTGTGTTTGACTATAACTTAAATTTATACTGTAATATCCCTTTAAATGACGAATGTGTATCATAGCAGCAGAAAGGCTTTGAAGCTAGTTCAACATGCAAACCTAAAGGTTTCTAATGAAACACGATGCACAGACTTTTGTTGTGGTATGGCCAACAACCAATACTAAATACCATAAACTAACTTAAAACCTAACTTATTGTGGAGTGGATCACAACTGGAGTTCTAGCAGACTCTGAGTGCTTCACACTATAATAACAGTCCTGTCCTGTGCCACTCCCTTCAGCAGCCAGTCTTTGAATCATGCCCGTTTCATATTAAATGTACGGCAGTGTTTTTGCCATCCCAAGCTTGAAATAGATCTGAATTTAGTGGACTGCAGACTCTACTGCCTGAGCAAATGGAATATTATCTCGCATATCCATCTTTTTCTTAGGACACACTTCACTATGATATATAAAGTAGGGCTCAACTGGCTTCATTATAACACTCCGCCTGTTTTTTATCTTCCTCTTTCTGAGATGATGGTGTTCACCCAAGTGCATGCTCCTTTCTGTGATGGCTTGCTACAGAGCTATTGTTTGATTTAAGTGGTAAAATTATTGCAATAACACAACTACTATTACTAATGGAAGTGTGGTATTACCACAAACTTGGCTACGGGACCAGGTCTTTATCAGAGTGTGGCTCACGGATCCTTATGAGTGGCCTTGTTAAGAAAAAGCTAAGAAAAGGCCATTCGAGGACCCAGGCAGAAATTATGAGGTCCTGCTAATGATTGGTTATATTTGTGTATTAGAGCAACACACTTCATCAGGAGCAGAACTTGGTGTCATAATGATGAATGCCAGAGGTTTTTAATATTCTAGCTGTTTGTTGCCAGCTATTATGAGAAGGCTTCCTTTCACCTACAGTTTTAATAACTCACATTAAATGTCTCGTATTCGGGATAAAATTTCAAATGTAGCTAAAACACAAAAACCCACAGATAAAAACAGGGCTGTGGATCATCAGAGGTCTGATCCACCACAGGTTGACAAATGGCGAATCCCCATCTGTTAATATCACTTTGTCATGAGCTCTGCAAATGTGGCTACTGTGTGATATATCGGATTAAGCTGACATTTTCATCATTCTTATTCGGCTTATGATGCCCATCTATCCAGTGCACTGAGATGCCCTCCAATAGACATTCTCGAGTAACATCTGATGCTCAATGAAAAATATCAGTCTCCTTGTGTCAGTTGCAGTTCCACTGGCAAGGCGAGGCGTCCAATGGGGAAGGTGGTGTACAACCTTCTCTCCATGCAGGAGCTGAAGAGGAGGATGAAGGAGTGCCATCTGTCCACACAGGGCACACGAGAGCAGATGATCAAAAGACACCGGGAGTTTGTTCAAACTTACAACGCCCAGTGTGATTCTCTAAACCCCAAATCAGGTGAGAATAATACAGAATAATAAATACTTTCATTTCTTTTATTTCACCTTTGTTTAGCCAGGTTTGTCTCATTGAGAGCTGAGATTTTTCCCCCAGATCTTTCTGACCTAACTAACCCACTAAGCAATAGACTGCTATTAGACATCTAGTTTTTTATTTAGATCCAATTTCAACCGTCTAGATTCTGTATATTTTTCAATGGAATTTAGACGTTGCACTTTAACCCATTATTCGATAACTATTTATTTCAAAAAGCAACTTTGAGTTGCATAACTGATCTCCAAGTGCTTAAGCAAAATAATTATGATAGCTGTTGAGCAATATACAGTGTAGTATAAATATAGCCCAGATTTAGATTTAGTCTAAACTTGGTCTAAATTTAGACGTCTAAAAAAACATTCATTTTTAGACCTGTGGTAGCCTGATTTTAGACCAGTCGTCTACATTTAGAAGTCTATTAGAACGCTTTTAGACCAAAAAATACTCAGTGGGAAGAATTGCACATGCACACAGATTCAGCACTTCAACCTTTACCTGTCAAATTGTTAAAATGATCATCCAAAACATTTGCGCAGAAAAACCCGAGTTCCAGATTTTTCTTGAAGAGTTGAAAGACATTCACGGAAATCGAAGTTTTGTAGAGTAGAGTAGCAAATTTTCTAGGAAAAGATGGAAAACCTAAAAGCTCTCTTTTCCTCTTCACTTTGGACTTTTGGTATGACAAATAGTACAATACCTTTAGGTTAGTACTGTGATGGAATACAAGTAATTTTTAAATACAGGCTATCTGCAGGGTATTAAAAAGTCTTAAAATGACTAAAATCATATAATTTGAATTTAAGGCCTTAAAATGTCTAAAATTCTCATAAAATCTCATAAAATGTCTCATATATGATTTTGAAAGGTCTTAAAAATAAAATGAATAACGTGCCATAGGAACAAAGATTGATTTGAAGTAATGTAAAATGTTCCCATTTCCCTTCATGTCTTTTGTACTTTTTTTGACAGAATGGATGAGGTTTTAAATTGTATTCATTACATTCTTTAAAATGTCTTAAATTTAACTTGTTGAAACCTGCAGAGACCCTGTAAGTGTTTAATAATATTTAACTAGCTTTTAGTACTGAAGAAAGTCCAGCTATTGATATAATCACAACAAGAGACTGAGTCCTCTTCTTGTCAAAGCCAGAGTCATAAAATGTAGTTGCTGATCTTCAAATGGGACAAAAGTTCTTTTTCTGAAGATTTTAACAGATAAAGCACGAACTTCTTCAATCTTAAAGACGTTTTGAGTTTACTGGTGCTCCCACGAATTCCTCAATATTGAACAGCATCCTCAAGGGGATGAAATCTTTTATCTGCTTGATAATGCAGCTTTCATGACAGGCAATATTTGCAATCTTGAGAGTGATAAAGACTTATCTGTCCTCCGTCAGCTGAAGATATTGCCAAAGAGGTGGAAGCCAATGAGAAGATCAAGAATCAGCTGCAGGGAAAAGCAAAACCTGTGAGTACTTACTGCAATATTGGAAATGTGCAAGCTGGAAGACTTGAAATGTTTTATTATTTTTCCTTTCAAATTCATCCTGTGGAGATTTCTAGTTAAGCTCCAATAGCACTTTAAAGCAGCAAAGGGTCCTGCTTGTACTCTGTTAGCTGGAGTATTCCACATAAAACAGAGGTGAGGAGGGAAGAGATTTACACTGAACATGTTGGTTCCATCTCCACTATAGTGTTATTTTATTGGCACTCGTCAGATTTAAAGGAAATGAATGAGAGTCATACCTTTGAGAGCTTTCAGCTCGCATACATTTCTTGAATGTTGGTCCCGATGGTAGAAACTGATATCAATCCATCCTCGTCTTTTACAGGTGATGGTTTTCTCAAAGAATCAGTCTGAGGTGGAGATTGATCAGGTGCATTCAAACTATAGTAAGTGATATCATTTCAAGAATATGTATGTCTTTTTAAAAATCATTTACTGATACCTGTAGAGACTGAAACACCATAGCCTGGCTGGGTCATCCAGTTGCCGTTCCTTCCCACAACAGTCTGGACTTCGGCCAATTGGGAGCCCTAAAAGTGGGCGGGAGTACTTTCCTTGATAGACAGACTACTGTAACCAATCACCGTAACCAAACATCTGACGTCATCACAGTGCGCAACTGTGTTCCCTGCTGGACTCTCAAGCATCAAGTAAAGGTCTGGTAATATTTCAACGTGTACGAGCAAACAATGTCTTTAACATCTTCTTCTGTGGATATAAATGATTTCTGCCGACTTTGCAAAGTCAACTGCAGAATTAACGGCGTTCTGAATGAACGGGGCTTTGAAAAGTCCTGCAGCATGTGTTAGACGTCACCATCTACACATGGACCAATCAGGGGCTGCCTTTCCCTGTTGTCCGTGGAACAGTGGAAACACAGTCACTGATTGGCCCGGTTATTTTCTGAGTTCTAATACATGCTCCCAATTTGCTGAAGTCCAGACTGTTGTGGGAAGGAACAGCAAGTGGTTTACGCAACTGGATGGCCCAGCCAGGCTAGAAACACCAAGCTGAAGGGTAAAAAATGAGTGACAATACAAGTCAGATGATGAAAATGTAAAAAGTTGAGATATTCAGCTGAGTGCTGTCTGTATATTTAAAGAAAGATGTCCAATCTACCTGTCAAACACAAATAACTCTCTGCTTTTTTACACTCCTTTATATATTCTAGAGGAAATTGCCTTTTTTGTTTACAGTTTTGTTCCTTTTCCCCTTCCATACCAGGGCTCTTGCACATTCTTAGATATTTTTTAATGTCATAGATGTAATTTTTCAAAATAGAAGATCAATAAGTCTTAGGGCAATAGGTCTTAATTTTTAAAAGGCACTTTGACTGATGTATATCTGAATATTTGTACAAATCTGTATCATTTTAGTAAGCATTATCTGATTTTATATTTCCTTTTTGGAGGATTTGCTTGTTCATGTAATAACAGTGTACGCAGCAGTACCCATGTACAAACCACAAAGCTAAGAGAAGGAGAACTTGTTTAAGGTAACTTGGCTTTAAGATCATCAACACAGAACGGTCGACAAGGACAAACAAAGATGATTTGCAGGAAAAGCTTTTAAACTTGTGATTTATTGTTAAAAGCCACACACTGGTGTTTATTGCTGTTTGTTCTGCTGTGCTAAAATGTATTTATCTCTGTCTTCAGTCTTGAAAAGGTCTTCAAAAGTCCTAAACTCTTTTTTCAAAAAGTGTGCAGTAACCCTGGGCTATATTTCCTTGTACTTAAAAAGCTGGATTGAGAGCTCTCTGGTGTGATTTTCCATTCTCCTGAGGTACACAGAGTCTCTTGGTAGAATTTAAGGTTGCTGAGTCTTGCTGAGCACATCTGTGAATTATATCACCACTTTTTAATAAAATGCTAGCCAGTACAAGCAGGCAATACAAAACGCCAGTGTTTAAATTAAGACGAGGCAGCAAAGCTAGAGAAGTACCTTTGGATTATTTATTAATGTTATACCGCAAATCTTAATAATGTAGGCATTCAACATGGACCTGCTTTTTAGCGGGTTACGTCAAACAAAACAATGCCTAAGATCAAACTTTTGGGCTTTTATGCCTTTTATTTAGAGAGGATGAGGTGAAAGAGGATTTAATTATCTTTAAAACCGTGTTTGATTGCCGCACTCTGGAAAAGCTCACAGTGATACTGCTTAATGTTGAGAAGAGCAGACGCACACAGGCGTGGCGCACTCATTGTGCAGTATACAACTTGTAAACATGGTGGAGGGCAGTTTTTCGGTTTTTCCGTGTTGCAGAGATTGTTCTGCCGTCAAAGAAAACAAAGTCCGAAGTCTGGGCGTATTTCGGCTTCTACAAAGGGTTGCGAGGGTTGTCAGAAAGCTTTTGTGCATCCCAGCAATCAGTGTGCCATCCGAGAGACTATTCATCGCCAGCGGGCACATCGTTTCCCCTCGCAGATCACTACTCAAACCAGGAAAGTAAATATGCTGATATTTCTACATTTCAATCTGAAGTAGTGAACAAAGTCAGCAGCAGCACCTTATGGTGGAGGAAACAGACAATAGGTGTGGTTCATTTGATTTGTTTACATATTGTATGTTCTTTTAAACACCTGAGGCCTGTACTACGAAGCTGGATTAACACATCCAGGATAACTCTGCGACAACTCGCTCAACTTCACCGGATCTCCGCGATCCCGATCAGCTGTACTACGAAGCCGGTTATCAACTCGATAACTGAATCCAGGGGTGGCCACTTCAGATCTGTGCGCTCACACGTAAAGGGGGGGGGTCAGTGCCACCGTACCAATCTCCACAATGGAGAAGGCTGCACGTCATTTTTCACAGCTGAAGAACAGAGCTTTATTTAAACGGTGAGACAGCCACAGCCGCTAAAAGCCAGAGGGACTGCTGGAAAAAAAAATCACCGGTTGTGTAAATTACATTTGTGCGTTCATAAATTTATGGCCCCCTAATATGTTGTCATGCAGTGTGTGTGATCACCTCCATCAATGACCTCATTATTTAAGATACAACAGCAGTGGGGAAAAGAGTACGTGGGAGCAAATAAAAATAAATCTAAAAACATCCTTTTAAGTAGTTTGTAAGTTTATTGGAAGATTTTATTTGTACATATTTCACCGCGTAAACAGTGTTTTCCTCACACTGCCTTTTTTCTTTTTTCTCCATCATCTGATAGTCACATGTCATCTGCAGACACATTTGGGGTTAAGAGTTTTCTAATCTGCTTCAATAAATTCTGAATGATGACTGAAATGCCGCATGAAATTGGAACCTGGAGCTTGGCAAATATTAGTGCATTGCTTAGACTTCATGCTACCTGAATATTGAGGCCGTCCGAGGAAAACCTGTAACGTTCATATATAGAACATCAGGTAAATCAAAGGGGTTTGAACGATCATGAATATAACGCTCTCGGCGAAGCGCTCCTCTCACTATCCGTGCAACGATGTCCCCGGGATCCGGCAAAAGTGGGCAAGCCATTTTCCAAGAGATCCGATTGGTCATCGGGCGGTCTTTTATACCTGCTGAGATCTTATCCTGGAACATAACCTGCTCTGGAGCAGGATGCCGTTCCGCGTAAGTTACCGGGGCAACGGACCCGGAAAAAAAGAGATCCACCTGAAAATCCAGAAGTTATCCAGAAGTTATCTCGCTAAGACCAAATCCAGCTTCGTAGTACAGGCCTCTGCACTACACATTTGTTTACATGTGGTTGTTTCATATAGTAGTGTTGCTCTGTATTATATTTGTAAGAGTAGATTTTTTTGAGCACTGAAGATACTGACAATTTGCACGATAAGGAATGTCATTTTATTTAAATGTTATTTATTTGTTATTATGTTGATGTTTATGTCTCTGGCACATTACTTTGTACTTTGTTAATACTAGTAATAGTGTTGATTACCTCAGGCTCTTTTAAGGCCCCATCTTTAATTTTTTAAGCTTATTGTTCCTCTCTTATTTAAGGTTAAGGAAAAGTTCATTCTGCATGTTATTTTGATTATTATTATTTTTTAAATAAAACTGTGTTAAATGATTTCAGGGCGAGTATAAGTACTTTTTAAACATTTTGAACATATTCCAACAATACCGTGATAATATTGATAACCGTGATAATTTTTGGTCACAGTAATCGTGATGTTAAATTTTTAGATCGTTACATCTTTAGTAGGAACACCACAACCACATATGCGAACATAATTCGTGGGCTCCAAAGTAAAAGCAGTCATACTGGCAACCTCGGTCCTGTCTGACATTTTGATCAGTTACGTCAGCGTTGGATTTGTGTTTGATAAGTAATGTCTGCACATGTCAATCCTAACTGACACTGCAGCACTCACCTCTTAGCAGGCATTACTAATCATTCACCACTCACTGTCTTGGTGCATGAGTCAGAGAGAAATGGAAAATTATTTGCACTTTAACAAATGCTGAAAAATACAATCTGCCACAATTGGAGTATGTGCCACCAAAACAGTCATAGTTTTGAACCCTGCTGTCTTTTGAAGGCTGTCTGTACATAAGGCGCATGATTCACCATGAGGCACCCAGTTGACTAACAAGCTTGTATATGAGATATAATCAACCATTAGACACACAAAGCACAAAACACCACATATATTACAATTCTTTTGATTAAAATTCTTTCTGTTTATTTGATGAGTTGTCACAGCAGCTGTTGAATGTCTCATCTTAGTTACACATGTCCCAAAAATGTCTCAAAATTGAGAAAAGTTTCAGCATCTTGATAATGGCCTGTAATGACTACTCTCCCGACCAGACTGGAGGCCTTCTAAACAGCTGATTGTTTTTCCCCCTCCATTTCTGGGCAGACAGATTAGTTGGAAATTGCACTCTTGCAGGCTTGAATCTTGCCTGAGATCAATCCAACAGCCCAAAATGTGCAACATCATTTTTGGTGAGAGTTAAGTAAATGTAGCACAGCAGTGTCATGAAAGCGAGTCAGTGTGTCTCCCAGCTATAATTTCAATCTTGGTTGGTTCAGTCTAGAAGCTGGTCCATCAGGAGCCAGCCTCATATACCTTCCCAAGCACATTGCCAGTTACAGAAATGAGCAGAACTGCTTCATCTTCAGCCAGAGAGGGATTTCACACCGAAAAGTGTCTTAATATTTTTGCCAATTTTGTAAGAAAAAAGTATATCTGGTTTTTGACACGTTTGTGTCAAAAACCCAATATACATGCTTTGTCAAAAATGTTTACAGGTTTTTTTTCTTCTCTGTTTGCACTCAAAGATGTTCACTTAAGGACTTACTGAAGACAGTCACAGGGATCTTGTCCAGCTGGGTGTTTTTGTCCTCAGGGCAGAGGTTGAGAAAGAGCAGCCGACACTATTATCCAGAGTCATGTTGTCATGTTTGAACAAGATGAAAAAACTCAACTGAGCTAACTTTAAAAGTGTTTTTTAGAAATGGATGTGACTCACAGGAGGTGGGGTCTAAAAATAGCTGCACTGCTGTGATAACCTCTTGATTTATCAGAGGAGGATGTGGATGACTCACTCTGCCGGCACGGGGGAATGGTGAATGAGCAGACAGGAAGGTGAAAGCAGCACACGTGTATGCACAAACACTGAATCCATCAGGTGCTAGAAGCTGTTTTTTTTTCTTTTTTTTCCTCAATGTGACGGCGTGTTCTTTTAGAGCTAATACAATCAGAGACCGCTTGTTTAGAGAAACATCCTCATAACCAAGAATAGCTTCAAAGAAAAACATGGAAATCCTGCTTCATAAGGCCACCTCCAGGGAAGTTTGAAGTGTGTACGTGAGTCCCCGCTGTCATCACGGGGAAGAACATTTTGACTGGAATTTCACCCTTTATGGAGACTTGATACTTCACACTTTTTGTTTTTCAAATATTTGCATTAAACCAGGACATGACATCAAAACATTTCCTGTGGTCCAAAGACAAACTGTATGAACAAAATTCCATGTAAAACTAAATAATATGAAGCAACATACAATGTGCAAAAACTTAGTCCATGCAATATTGAAAGAGTTAACAATATCAGTGTTTCTTTAAACTCATGGTGCACTCATTCTTGGCTCATTTGACCTGTTTCATAAAAACTTTGACTACGTTTACACATGCCCGGGTATTTTCATAAACGGACATTTAACCCTCTCCATTTGCAAAAACAAAATGCGTGCACACCACTATGTTTTCAGAAAAGTATTCGTTTACACTAACCCGTGTATATATGCCATCAAGAGCATGTCAAACATGCTGGTGGCAGTGTAACGAGAAGCTCAAGCCCACGTTAGCCAGTCAGAATCCTGCATAGTAGCAACAACAACAACGTCCGTTCTCTGTTTTCCTCTGTTTTTCTCTGTTTGCATGCAAACATGTATTTTTTTGCCGTTTTCCAAAATCTCCACTCCGGCTAGTGTTTTTAAAAACCATCGTTTTCAGGGGCAAATTCTCCATTTGCGTAAAACTAGGGTTCAAACGATGGTTAATGTCTCTGTTTTTAAAAATAACCGGGTACGTATAAATGTGGCCTTTATCCCCCTGTCTTGATCAAAATACTGCCAAACTTCACCACATTTCAGATGTGTGTCCAAATGTGTTTGTTTCATCCAGGTAGTCGACAATCACAACGTTGTTTCAGAGGCTAGCCATTGACTGGAGCTTCAACCTTGGGTAGTGTGGCTTGCTGCGCTACAGCTTTGGCATTTTAGGCATACAAAAATAGAAACATTTACGACCCCTCAAGTCATCAGGGACAGGTCTACTCATTGTTCCCAGGGTCAGACCCAAGCAGGGTGAAGCTGCATTCAGCTACTGCGGTTGTCACCTGTGAAACAAACTCCCTGAACGCCTCAGGTGTGCTCAAACTGTCATCTCATTCAAATCAGGGCTGAAAACATTTCTGTTTACTAAACCTTTCCTGTGGCGTCAACTTCTTTTATTTCAACTTTGATATCAGCTGTTCTGTTATTTTCAATGTTATTTTTTTTTTTATACTTTCTTAGGTCCATAACATATACAGTAGCAATACAATTCAATTGCCATTTCATCAGTGTTTCTTTTTCATCATTTATATCACTGTTTTACAGACATTTTGACCCTTCTTTTTTTTTTTTTCAAACACCACTGTCTGTATCAAAGTACACATTAAACTCTAATTGTTGGAGGGAATGTGGGGAGAATAAGGCTGACCATACCCATATATTTTTTACATGTTCCAAAGTACAAAGCTTTTGGCTGAAGGTCTCACACACCATAGAACAAATATTTGGAAGAGATATTCAATTAGAAAATCACAATGTAATTCTAGGAACACGTCCCAAACGATTGAGGAGCCAAGATCTTTATCTCTTCTGGATACTGAGAATGACTGCACTCAAACAAATTACAAGAGGTTGGAAAAGTGTGGACCACCCTAGGATGGATAGGTGACTGGAAACAATGGAAAATATGTATTTAATGGAAAAGGTGACATATAAAATTAATGGTAAGGAAACTTTGTTTGAGAAAAGATGGGTCTCTTATCTTTCAAATAAGGATAACCTGTATGCCTAAAAACAGAATTTTCATTGCTGAAACAAACACAACAAAGCCATTTTTTTAAATTAATTAATTTATATATAGATTTTTTTTCTTCTATTTCATTTATTTTCCTGTTTTTTGTGTAGAAATGTCTTGTTTCACTTTTCTGTTTGAGTTTATTTTTGTGTTTTCAGAAAAAAAGGGGGAAAAGAGAAAAAAAAAGGGTATTTTCAATGGTTTTAATGATTTTAAATTACAAGTTAATATCTTATTGATTTTAAGATGACAAATGCTTCCTCTAGTCTGTGTTTCTCAGGGGAATAAAAACCAAATTTGGACCTAACTAATGAAATAGGAAGAACAGGTAGAAGGCTGGGGAGTTCTGGGTCAGGGGCCTCCTGTGCACTGAGGTCTTGGGGACCTGTAGAGTCTTGGAGACTCGGGCTGAGTGCTGGGGCGCTCCGGGTCTGAAAGCTTGTGACTTATTTAGTTTATCTGGGAAAATACGGTTTTCATAAATAATTAAAGCAAACATGGAACAGACAAAAATTTTACATGTATGTATTTCCTTGCATCTATAAAGCACTTTTTGAATTGCCTTGTGTATGGGTGGTACTATACAAATAAACTTGCCTTGCCTTAGAACTTATTCAACTGACTTGATAGCTGCTGACCAGCTAGGATGATGACAATTAATCACGTAGGTGATTAAATGTGTACGTTCCTGTTTAATGTAGCCACCACGTTTGAGTTGAGACTGAAGAACTGTGTTTTGACTTTGACTTTTCCCTGAGAAACACGGTGTTCATTCATGTATCCTTGATTGACAAGTGTTCTCTCCTAGTACAGTCAGCAGCTGTCGCTCGCTTCCAGCTTCTCTCACCTACTACAAGGTTTCCTCTCCTTCTCTTAAATTTTGACTGACATATGCACATTTTTCACAGCAGTCCCTCAAAACCCCAAAGATGGTGTGTCTTTCTTTTTGTATAGACAGTTTTTATAGTTCATTCACATTACACTTTCCACACTCTTCATTTGTGTTTAATTCACCTATACCATCTGCATCACACTGTCCACTGATGTCTGCTTTAGAGACAAAAGAGTGTCTGTCTTTCATTCATAGAACTACTCTGTAGATTGTCTTTTATTTAGAAACTGAGTAATATCTGGCTCAGAAGGTTTTCCAAGTGTACCAGCAATAACAGTGGGAGGAAACGATTGCTTTTTAAGGATTTAAAGTCCTGCTTCTCCATCATAGTTTTTACAGCAGGTTAAATGAAAAAAAAAACAACAACAACAACAAAAAAACGATTTTAACGGATATGGGCCTCAGGAATGTAGGCTGTTGCCAGGATACAGTAGGAATAAACAAACATTTATGTCTCACCCAGGTAAAAAAAAAAAAGTGGTTTCCCTTATCAACTTCAGAATACCAAAACATGTGAAAAAGAAACCCTTAAGAAGATAATTAAAAACAAACAATGCCAGATTTCTCTTTGCTTAATTGCAACATTTGGAGCACACTAATGTTAATTACAATATTGGGTTTTTCTGTCTGTGTTTAAACAAGAATCACATTGACGGATGTTGTGGATTTCTGTGGAGAGTGATTAAATAAGTGATTACATTTTGGCTGACAGCCCAAACTTAAGTGAGGTCCTTGTAGCGCCTGCTTCTCTTCTTAGTCAGTGTTATGTCTTTTAAATGACTTTTCAGCCCCAACCACAGCAGCAAAGGTGTTTTTTTTTTTTTCATCTTAAGTGATCTCATCTAAGAGCTTACATTTGTGGGGCTGAATAAATTCTTGCATTTTTTTTTAAATCAGTTCAACCTTTCAAGGTTGGTGCTTATCTCTATAAAGTCCAAACATTAATCTGACTGGTGTTATGTGTTAGAATTATCTCTCTATGACAAATAAGCCCACAATGTTTAATGCTTCCCGGGTTGTGCTGTGTTTGTCATCTGTTTCTACCCCCACTACATGCATCCCCTCAACTGTACATCAGCATATGATCGTTTCCCTAAACGATTATATGCTCATTGACATTTTGTGTTTGCCTCAGCAAATGCCTCAAAGTTTTATGGTATCCATCATTGACGATTGTGCCCTGTATACGTTTCCTAACATATATGCTTTATTTCCTGCAGGGAAGCAGCACAGCAGTGACTTTTCCCGCCTGATTGCTCAGGTCCGGGGTCGCCTAGAAACCAGCAGGCAGACCCATATCAAACAGGAAGTCGTTGCAGAAAGAAAGGATGAACATAAAGTATCCTCTGCAGGTACTGCACCAGCCATAAAACATACTCTCGCTGCAGGAGACTTTTAAGCTCCCGTGGTACCCTTTAGCACAAATCACCTGAACTCTTAAGTTCACCTTGTATCTTCACTGAACACATTTGCTGTTGTAAAAGTCGGGCAGATTAATTGCTTTGTGACAAAATTGTTTTCCTGACAAAATGCAAATGAAGCCATGAGATGCAGCCTGGCAGGCATTTTTTGTGAATGCCTTGTGGTTGTGTATGTGAGGGTTTTCTGAATAGAGCGCATCAATTTATTGTTCCATCCCTTTGAAATTCACATATTAAATTGTTTGTGTGATTTTAAGTGTTTTGGGGACAAGTTGAAACTCAGAGGACAATTTAACCATATGCTGCGCAGAGATAGAATAAGAGAACTTGACACTAAGAAGAGGCAACATGACTCAAAATTCAACTCAGTGCACTTGTTTTTCTTTATACATAAATGGCTTTATATCATGATGTTATCAAATAAGAAGGACCACATATGCAAACATATGTTCACTCGCTACAACCCCACTCTCCCCTAAACAAGCAGAAGATGCACAGAATTAATGTATGTCTGTGGCTGAGACCAGGAAAGGATGGTTCTATTTACTACTACGTGTTTAGAACTCGGTACTTTCAGTTTCCTACTGAGTGTCTGTGATTGTGAATTTTTAGTTCTCCTTTGCTGCCCTCTTTGTATTGGGTTGTGTTAGAGGTGGGGTAGGCAGGAATCCGTTAAGAAGCATCTTTTTTTGTGGTGTATGAACAAAAAAGCTTTAAATATCAGTCAATAGCTATTAGTTATTGATGACATCTGGTAATATAATGATATCGCTGTGTTTTGTTATGTCTGAGTAGTCAACATTTTAAAATGTCAGAGCGCTCCGCCCTTTCTGACTGTAAACAAAGCCATTCCCCGCCTCCCCCAACCTGATTGGTTGTGAGGCAGACGCTGCTCCCCCGTGTTGTTCAGAAGTCCAAACAGAGTTAGCGTGCTTACACGCGACAGTAGAGACCCATCAGAAAGTACAGAAAATTTAGCCACGACCGCCAACACAAGCAAGAAAATGAAGTAAATACCGGAGACTATGGCGGACTAATGGGCGCTTAAAAAGGAGGTAGACCACCCGGACAAGAGCTAAAAAAGCCGGGTCAACAATGATGGGGGACGCTTTGGGAACTTACAGACCCTGTAACCTTTATGCTGGACAGGTAAACCGCCCAGCCAAGTTTCTGTAACAGAAGTGTGTCTTATCAAACGGGGCCTGCTGCATGTTGTAGCGCCGCTGAACTGTTGACCTCGGGTCCTGGACTATGTCACTTTATCTTAGTTGTAGAAGTCCTGCAAACATTGTGTTTGCTGGTAGTCTGTTGGCATCTACAGTAGCACCATTGCTTTTTAGTTTCAAGTTGACTGGGCCCCATTTGTAATTATCTGAAGTATTTATCTGCAGTATATCTGAATTTAATTGAAATGATACGAGCGAGCGAATGATACGAGGGGCTTGCTGGACCAGAGACGGAGGGTAGAGGAGGAGCTGAGGGGAAAACTGGTTGGGAGGGGTAGAGTTTACATTCAAGATTTCTCCCCAAAAACTGGCACTTCCTCAGATCCTGCCTACCCCGCCTTTAAGTTACTACTTAAAAAGCTTGTCAGAAATGAAACAGGTTTTCACTGAATTGAAAAGTTTTGACAAAGCTAGGATTATGTGATAATCATCAGGAGCTACAGTCACTACTTTGACAGTGAGTAACAGCTGTTGCCTCTTGAAATCAAGACAAACACATGACACTACTTTTACACGCCATCATGGTTGCGCAGTAGAGTAAATCTCTGTCATGTAAGGACTGAATTAATAATGTAAATATACACAAACATGTCTGTTTTAACTGGTGTTGACAGGATTGCTATATCCATGTTCAGTCAGACTCTGACTTTGGTAACAGAATTAAAATCAGTGCAGCCCCTTGCACGAACTGGTACCAACAAATAATAGGTAACTTGATCAGTCTGTAAATAGTAACAGATCTTTTGAGTTTTGAAAGAACACACAAAAAGCAATTCTTCTGTTTGGCCCAAACAACAAAAGTCATCATCTGTCTCACTAAAGCTTACATCAAACTCTACATCTGTGACACCAAAACCAGCCAGGGTCCTTCCCTGCATCATTAAAACCGATAATCATAGCCCTTTGTCTGTTCAGTCAACATGCTGCAGCAGGAATTGGCCAACCCTCTCTTTTTGAAGCCTGCCAGAGCAGAGGGTTTTACTTTTGATCCATATTATCCCTGCCCAGTGTCTGCCTTGTTTGTCAATATCACAGATGTTTTTTTTTTCTTTTGAATTTTATTTTCTAGCTTGTTTTAACTTTATACCACAGAAATCACATACTGCTCACACTGAAAAGTTGTCATTTAAACATCTCACCAGCTTGTACGCAATTGATATGTAGTTAGCAGGCCGTTTTGTGGAGTAGAGTCCCATCAGGATTAGACGTGACGTCTGTCCACCCTGAAACCCACTCTCCATGCAACCCTTGAAGTACCAACTTAAGCAAACATTTTGACACCAAGTATTGATCTAAAGATGATTTTATTGATTTAAATATTGTTCATTGATGCAGCTGAAAATATAGTCCGTCAGAAATGACTGTGGAAAGCGTTTCCTGAGAAAGGCGTTCTCATCAGTCCATTTACAGGTCGAATTGAAATTAAACTCACGGTTAAGCTTCAACATCAGCCAGATTCTCTTTCATGAATCACCATAAACTCAACATCTTCAATCACAGTAAAGTCAGGAAAGCATTTTTCCATCAGCATTCTTAACAGATGCAGAAAATTACAGGCCTGTCGGTGGTAAATGTTTTTACAATCTTAGAAATCTTGGGTTTAAAAGAGGAACTCATTTCACACCCTTTTTGATAGGCAATTCCTCTCCTGTTTATTTCCACCTGGATGTCTTACACAATGATATATATTTCTGTGTCCTTCAGATCTTGTTGCAGAATCGAAAGGCTGCTCGATGGCGAAGGTAGAGGACAGAGAGGTGGGCGAAGAGCCATCAGCGGAAGTGGCTGAGTTATCTTTAAGTCCCACTCACAGCGACGTGTCCATCAGCAGGTGAGCTCCAGACAAGAGACACAAGAGAGATGTTGTTCCTCTTACACTAGATGAGTCAATCAAAGCTTTTCGAGCCTCATGCAAAACACTACTGGTCGGAATTTTACAGTGTTAATGAAAAGGGATAGATAGAACTTACTGATTTGTTTGCAAAGAAGTACGTTTCAACCTGCAGCTCTGCGTTTAATAAATCCCAGAGGGCATAATTGATGATTATGGCTGATTAGCTTCATTTCAGAAACGTGATGATTCATTTTCCCTGTGTGGCATCCACAGGACTGGTAATCTCTAATCCATTCAGTATTCAATTAGCAGTCCCCCTTACCCTACCATAGCAATAACAATAACTGCGGTAACTCAGTCTGGGACAGTGATATTCAGTCATGGAGAATCTGAACAGATTACATGACATGATGATGCTCGTAATGTTGTTAAAATTTTTATTTACACCATGGAAAGAGGAAAAGCTCATCAATCGTCTGACTTCAGGGGGGCGTTCCAGATGAATTTCCCGGCTCGGAAATCACGACTTCCGAATACAACTGGAATGCAGCATAAGTAACCAACTTTAGCACGCTCCACTGGTCTTCCTCTAACTAATCAGTATCTAATAAGTAAAATAATTAATTACGCCTTTCTTCTGCTCTCATTGAGGCATTGATGTTAATATGATAGGTTGACTTAAATATCCAACTAACAGTATAGTGTAGCACGTATACTTTTTCATATACAAATGACCAGACAGCAGAGATTGATATAACGTACTGGTTGAAAATAGCCCTGTAAGAAATTCATAGTAAAGTTTACAAAAAGTTAATATAATAAAAAAATTCACAGAGAAGTTCAGACATTTCATCCACAAAGACCTCTGGTTAGCACCCTCATTTAAACCACGCAATTCTTTTGACCCTGCCTCTTAAAAGAATCGAGAATCGTTAGGACCTGGAATCAAAACTCTGAATTGAAACTGTGAATCGGAGCCGGAGCCAGAATCATTCAAGTTCAAATGATGCCCAACCTTATGCTGCGTTCCAGTTACCTCGGAAGTCAGAAGTCTGAGCTGGGAATGTTGTCACACCGGAGTTACCAGCATTTCAGTTACCAAGTCAGAGCAAAATCGGAGGCGGAAACAAGATGGCTACATCTAGGAAAGTTATTTTTGCGCTTGCCTTGTCCGAATATAAGCCAGGACAAGGCAAGCGCTAAAATAACTTTTTGAAGATGTAGCTACCTTGTTTCCGCCTCCGATTTTGCTTTCTTCAGAATTGGTACTGGTAACTTGAGTGTGACGTCAATCCCAGCTCAGACATCTGACTAACTTGAATGCAGCATTACTTATCAATCAGGTGTTCTGTATTGTGAAAAAGACGGACTACAAAGATCAAATGTTCCCAACACAAGACTCCAGTTCCTTGTCCTTAAAGTCTGTACATCTCAGCTGGTAACAAGCTGTATGAGCACCACTAGATCGAGCCAGACAAACAACACACTTTGACTGAAAGGCTCATCCTGTTCTTTTGTAGATGAAAGTAAGTGCAGTGTAGTCAGAGGCGATTTCAAGGCTTCACATGAAACAACAAAGAAAACCTGACATTACCCCTCTGTGCTTAGCGGATGTGCTTGAAAATGTCACTCTGATATTAAACACAATATCAACACTTGCATACGACATGTTCTTTTATTTTCACAGAACTCCCCATCACTCAGGTCTTGCTGCGCAATGAAAAGACACTGTTTGTTAGCAGGTTGTCTAAGTACTTGCAGTACACCCTTGTTATAAAAAGAGAATCATGTATGGCTTAATTCAGAGGATTTCTCTATGAACCTTCAAGTGTCTCAGTGGGAGCACTTATCTCTTGCCGTCACACTGCGGAGGCCTTGAACATCCTGCTTAAGTCTTTATAGTTCTCCTATTTTAACTGAACTTTTACTGTGACACAGCAGAGATTTACTGCCTTTAGTCCTGGTGCCTTAGACCAAATCAGCACTATGCTCACTTCTTCAAGTGTGAAATTGCTGAATTGAATGTCAGCCGGGGACACACAAGCATGTGTGGGTTTTTGTTTCGAATTTTCATTCCAAACATACGATCAGATATCACACATTTACAGACAGTCTTTAACTTGCAAATAACCGCATTTCTCCTAATCATTTGTCTTCTAATCAACCATGTTTTACAAGAGTTGTCATATCAGTAAGTGCTTGTCAAAAACTTACATCACAGAAGAAGACATGAGACAAACACAAAAACAAGCTGATAATGCATTAGCATGTGGAAAAAGGGATGGAAAATAAAACCCACAAAATTATTCTAACAATCAGGGTGAAATCATGCAGATGAGCAGTGAAAGCTTAATCACTGCATAATAACAAACAGATCACTTGCTGCCTCAAAATGAAGTCTATAAGGGCCACAGTCTACGTCTTGGTCTGAAGAACCAAAAAAAAGAAAAAAAACCCTCCTCTACCACATCATAAAAAACTGATATTGATGATGTCTCGTCTTGCGTGGTCAGCAGAGCCTTGCACAAATCTGCCAACCCTCTCTTTTAAAAGTCATTCACAACACGATTTAACGGGTTTTCTCCGCCTTGTTTGTCCATAAAAAAGTGAAGGGTTTATGTCAGCCGTTGGTGCTTTATGTGTGTATGCTTTATCCTGCAGCATTAACATGGCTGAAAAGACTTTTTAGCTTTAAAATTTTTATATTGGTCAAGGGAAATTAACTTGTCACCTGTTTCCCTCACCTTAGTTAACACCAGCTGATTAGAAATGGAGCTGCCCTGAGCTAACTGCAACTGCAGCAGTGAAACTTAGCTCACTGTGGCAGAGAAATAAGTGCAAGTTGGAAGTACTTTAAATCTAATGATGACTAAGACTGTACCCTGCTGAGGAAAACATGCTTTTATACCAGTGACCTCCAGTTTTATTCAGGCTGTAGCTTTTATAGAAGGACCGAAGGTTTGTTTTTTACCTCCAAGGCCAATGTTGAAGAGCCGCAGGCATTAAAATAAGGCCACTCACCAACTACTGTACAGGATACATAAGCACCAGAGATGAAATAAGGGCCAATTAAAAGTTTCAGCCCATAACAGAGGGCCTTCAACCACTGAACTCTTAAGGAGTATGTCAGTTTAAAGCAGCCGTGCTGCTGCCGCTGCTGAGCTGAACCGAATAAATTATGAATATATGTTTTTCTACACGAAAAAAATAGAGATTGTTCTTTTTCAGCAGACTCAGTATAATCCATCTCTTTCAAACTTGCTCTATAGCTGCAGAAAAAAAAACATCTGAATGAGCTTTTTGGTGGTTCTTGCATGTGTATTATATAGTCTGGCAAAGTGATGTCTAGTAAATCAAAAGCTTTAACCCTTTGTTGTTAGACCAACAATAATTAATGTTTGAAAAATTGTTTATTAGAATATATGCAAAGGTGAAAATCCCGACTTTAACATTTCACTAGAGTTTGAACTTTGTGGACTACCTTGCTATGATAATATATATTAATTTTATTCATAGTGTAAAGTAAGAGATATCAACTCTCCTTTTAAGAGCATTTATGAGAGTTAATATATGGCAGGGTTATTGGAACAAGTTCATACTGGTTTAAAGCCGTTTGATGATTTTCCGTCTTTATTCATGATAATCAGCCCTATGATGACTCAGGGTCCCTCTTCAGACATGTGTCTCTGATCCCTGAGTTTGAGCTTCTGCAATTAACCTGTCTGTTAACACTGAGCATCTCATATCCTTTGATAGATGGAGGATCAGAGGTTATTTTATTGAATGGTACCTTTGCTTCTCTTTAAGAAAATTACATTGCACCAAAAGCGTGCATAACTTAAAAAAGCTAAAGACATCACAACTTTACAGGAGAGCACATAAGCCATAAAACATGACAGAAATACTAAAAAAAAAACTTATTAATATTATTTATATTATTATAAATATATTATATATTATTATAAATTAGCCTGAGTGTGTTGGGGTTAAGTTTTTAAAAGATCTTGTTGTATTTGTCCTGTTTTTGCCCCTGCTGCATTTCTCAATTTCTACTGAACACTGCATACAGTACATTTAGTAAAGTACTGATTTTTCTCTTTTCTCTTTTTTTGCCTCCACCCCCTTTCTCACAACAGTTCTATTTCAGACATCTTTGGTCCAGAGCCTGCCAGAGACCCTGAGTAAGTGATTCCGCTGTCAGGAAAAGTAATATCATTTTAGTTTTTCATCATTTTATCTCTTTATGCTTCAGAGGCCTCACAGTTTTTCATTACAACTAATTGCATGCTTGTGTTGATGCATAGATTGGATGTCAACACAGACTGTTGTTGTCTTTCATATAAATTGTTCGAAGCCTTGTACCGTATATTAGGCTGTCTACATACAACTTTATCAAGGGGGATAAATGCCACTCAATACATCTCAATGCCTTAATTTACGCATAAAAAGACTCATAAAGATCAAAAGCAGATTAATTTGTAAACTGTGCCCTGATTGTAACTCATCATGGCGACAGGCATTTTAGTGACTAATCTGCTTTCTTTGATTTGGCCTTATTTTCCTCTGTGGTGTAGGGAAAAAGCTGCAGCTGGAGGCATTATCTCTTTGGGTTGTTTGTTCATCTGTTGGTACCCCTGTTTAAATTCTGTGTGTGTGTGTGTGTGTGTTCTGTATCACAGGAATTTCACAAGGGAATGCCTTTAAATTCAGCGTAAAGTCCGCTTTAAGTCCAGGATGCATCGATTAAATACAGTGTATCCCAAGAGTTGACAGGCTTGTATGGCATAATGTCATCTAAATGCCTAATAAATGAGGTGATAACATATTTAATGCTGCGTTCCAGTTACCTCGGAAGTCGGATGTCAGCGCTGGGAATGAGGTTACACCAGAGTTGACGGTGTTCCAGTAAACAAATCAGAAAACCAAGATGGACGCCTACAGTTAGCCGTTGTTAGCTGTTGTGTACAATTGTCAGCTGTCGTTAGCTGTTGTCAGTTGTTGTTAGCAGTCATCAGCTGCTGTTTGTTGTTGTTAGCTATACCAGTAGGATGGGTATGTAACCTCACGGATTACAAACAGGGGTGGACTAGCCGTCTTGTATTGTGCTTCATTACATTATTTTATGGAATGCTACAACGATAGTGAACGCAACTGTTCCTATTATGTTATCGTAGCTTGTCAGAGATTAATCCTGTTATTTTTCTAACTTTGACGATCTAACATGTGACAACATATGAGCTCAGAGTTTAAGGACTGTGAAGGTTGGTAGTTGTGATTCTATTTTGTTTAAATATGCCAAATTGTGAATTTCAGACAATTGAGCTAAGCTAGCCAGCAACTGCTAATGACTATCCGAGGAAACGAACTCTGGTCCGTTTAAAGCAGACCAAACCGCTCTGGTGTGAAAGCGACCTGAGTCAGAAAACTGACTTCAGCAGGGCATTACAGACGAATTTCCGACTCGGAGCTCGGAAATCCCGACTTCCGAGTACAACTGGAATGCCAACTCTAAGGGTCAGAGTTCAATTCACCATGACAAGCTTCTCTGCCTTTCTTGTGAACACTTTTTCCTGGTACTAGAAGGAATCCAGATTTTTCTGCAGCTCAGTCTGTCTTCAGCACGTGTTTGCCTTTTAAAGTAGCCCCATCCTTTAATTTCAAAAGGATCACATTGAATTAGATTAGTAAATACGCTTTTGAGGTTCCCATACTGACGTCTTTTACTGGACCAGGGTTGCTCAATTCAACTTGGAAAACAAAAAGCGACCAAAACTTTATTTTAAATAAAGCTATCATATGTGCAATCTGGATTATACATCATCTCAGCGTATTCATAACTGTGTTTGTTGAGAAAGCTGCTGAAAGGCACTATCAGGTAACTGAAAACAGCCAGACTGCTCATCATCACAGTTGTAATCTCATTGGAGATGTGCTTGAAACAATCCTGACTCCTTTGCCCCGGTTGTCATAAATAAATCAATATACTGCAAACATGGAGTAGGCAACATGTTACTTCCAGTAACCACAGACACTGATACCTGGTTATTACTTAGAGATTACAAAATAATACCAGCTCTTTACTTGTGGACAGCAAGCTTGTTACCTGAGCTGAAAGGTCTTGCTGTGTCTCTTGGCTTTGCCTTATATTCGAATTTGATGTCTTCTTGAGTCTCCAACTCAAACTGATGCTTGCTACAATTTTGGGTATTACCAAATTGTGCAACATTTCCTGAATTTGGATCCCGTACTGTTTTGACTGCTCTCTGTCTTCATATTCAGACCAAACCGGCCATTATTTTATTGAGAGGTACTTAATACACTGAGCAAGAAGAGCAGCTAAGCCTGCAGCACTGCATGCCCTGGTGTCTGCTTTCATAAATACTGCTTTTCACACACAGATTGAGATTTCACCACTTGCCTCTGGTGTCCTATGCAAACATTTAGTGTTGTGCTTTTCCTGGAGGGAGTTTGGGAAACACCTTCGATATCAGAGGCATGAAGATAGCACAGCTCATCAAGTTTCTCTCCCTGAAAAATTGTTGGACAAGGTTTGACAATTTATCTTCCTGTTAGTGACTCTAAGCTTGTTATTTAGACAACTTAACATCCCAAGAAAGAGGCCCTTATCCAAGCTGTTGTCAGAAATTGAGATATGCCGATGGTAAATATAGCTGTCCAATAGGAGCTATGGAGATATTTCACTCCAGTTATAGCTGTGAGAAGCGGGCTGAATACTTAGACTCAATACATACTTCATTTGTAAAACTGCGCAGTTTACTCTTTTTATGTTTCTTTTCCTTCTCTGATCATTTAGTAACTGAGCTATCAGTGCTGCCATCTTTGTCAAATGACCCTGATGGTGCAATAAGACAGATGCACATAGATCTCCTGCCTGGGGGAGACACACAAAGAAATGGAGAGCTGAACAGTTTGTAAAATCCACAATAAATTGAAGTAGATGGTTCAGCTGTCTTTTTGTAAATAGCCTTATGTTGCAAAGCTCAAACTTTTTATCAACAGAACAAGTAAAGGAACAAAATAAATGAATATAAATGATTTTTAGCAATGCAAACTAATTGAAATGAATCCCTTGGCTCAATTCTGTGTGTTGTTTAACAGAGATGCCTGTAAATGTGATGGTTGAATATAGCTAATTAAATCTTAAGAGAGAATATCTTTGCATGCATGGGCATTGAATACATTTAAGACTTCCTCTGTTGAAACAAGGAATAAGTAACGTCATGGGACTCATTTTTAACCGCTTCTTTTGGCAAGAGGATTCACAGAGAGGAGGCTTCAGACCGCAGCCCATGATTTTATTTGCAGTGTTTTTTTAATGATGCCACCTTAAATACTGCTTAGCGTTGTGCATTACGGCTTCATTAAAATGTGATCATCGTGCCGTGTTTCTGACACAAAGCCAAACCTGTTTCAAGGACACACAGGAAGCTCTCCTCCGCCTCATCACTGGCAAAACATCAGAAGCACTTAAGTGTGGATGTGATTGCACCTTGTGTTTTTTGCAGATAATCAGGACTCATTTCTGTCTGAATGACCTCGAGACCAAACCTGCCATAGTTTGTTCTTAATGTCATCCTTCAAAAAGCCCTTTCTTCTCGGTAAAGTCATACAACACCAGAGTTGGGCCTGTGAATGCATCAGAGCAGATAAGTCCTATCTAACAAGAGTGAAAGTTTTTTTTTTTTCTCTAATCCTTTGAATAAAAGCAAGGTTTTATCTCCTTCCTCCAGTCTTTGTCAGCCTCAGTTATCCAAACTTCATCAAAAACCAGCTCACCTATAATCCTCTAAACATAGATGTCACCTCATCCTTCAGCTTACCCCATGTGGACTTCTGACCTGAATTCCAGTGCTGGAATTTTGTTTTTCCTCCCTGTACAGTCAAGATGAAGAGGTTGATGACCTTGTCGCTGGCTGCAGGGCGATATACGTCTTGGTTATGATGAGCCAAAGAGAGCCCTTCAGAGAGGCTCTAAGTGGTTCCACATGGAGGACACTGAACTTTAAGGGGTTCCCCTTTGGCTTCTGAGACATGTTATCTGTGCAGCTTTCACGAAAAAGAGAAGCGATCTCGTCCACTGCTTTGTGTCAGAGGTGATTCAGTTACAGGGCTGTAACTAAACACTGCGTGCTGAGCTGGAGAGTCCGACGGGACACACATGGTCAGAGATGATATTAATGTTGCTATGAGTAATCCATTAGTGGTGGACAGTCTTTTTTTAGAGGCACTGAGTGTTCACTCCAGATGTTCCCTCCTGGAAACACTGAGTATTTAGTTATTTTTTCACAGTAAAGGTGGGTAATCATGATGCTGAATTGTCTTAATAGATTTATTTGATAAAAGTGCCGATTAGCAAATGTGTCTGAAATGGATCAAATTCCGTCCTTGTAATAGGCATCATTTTTTAACGATAGAAATAAAGATATATTTTAAATGCAAACATTTCTAATTGAAAATGATTGCATCTATATGTAACAGTTTATTTTACAGCTATATTAGTCATGTTGAGTGCAGAAAGATTAACTTGAAATAAGCAATACATTTTTTAATGTTGCTATACCTGAAAACAATTTAAGTCTTTTATGAGAGCTTCCCATAACTTTGCTCCAGCTGGGCAGTTGTTGTTTTTTTTAAACCAGTATTAGCCAGTTGAAAATACATTGCTAGACTATCATTGCACATATTAATAGAGATGTTACCACCAGTTTATAATATTCTTGTTGGAAATCTGTCTTCAACTGGCCAAAATTGTAACGCTTCGTTTGAGTGGACAGACTCTAGCAGAAGAACATCTTAACATGAACCTTTCTTACTTTCTTACCTTGTTGTTGCCTGGATTGCAGGACAATATCTTGCCTGTCTTGACTCTCGAGACCATCTAGAGACAGCGGCTTGTGTTTTTTGCCTGAGTGTTAAAAGGCGAAGTTGAAGTGAGCTGCGACTGCAGATTGATTTGGTATGAGGTGTGTGATCAGGTTGTCTCTTGTATTGCTTTTGCCATCGAGAATAATCACTCTTGTCATAGAGGTTTGCATTCTGACCAATCAGAATGAAGTATTTAACACAGCTGGGTAATACAAACAATTCACTCAGGATATGCACCTGATTCCACACCTTCATTTCAACTGCATATTTGAGATTGTCGGCCAAAATAAAAGGGCTTTTTACATGAATTGTGAATTGTTAACACTGCTGGTTACGAAGAGGCTAGTGCTGGCTGCTGGGCATTCATTACACCTTCTTGATATAAGAAGCACTGGTGGAGTTTTTCCACAAAAACCTACGGCAAATACTGTCACCTTTTTGGCTAAATGAGTCTCTGCACCCATCCAGCTTCCTTTATTTGTCCATTGAGTGTTTTAAAAGCCTGATGTGGATAACACAGTTTCTTCTCTTACTGCAGATCAAGATGACCTCAAAGTGTTGATACAAATGTGTTTTTTGTCAGCAATAATGTTTCATATTTCCATTTACCTCCATTCAAGTTTTGTTAAAAATGCTCTTCAACAGAAAGACAGAAAAGACTCCCGCCCGGAAACGGTCGTCCACCTCCAGAGCAGCAGACGCACCATCGTCCCCTGTTTTTGGGAAACGCCGGCGGAAAACATAAGGAGAGATGAAACATTTCTCGGGACTACCAAACGGTTACCAAAAAACTTTTTATGAACTGTGAAGCCTTCCATGAAGTATTTTTATGCACAGTCCCGCCCAGGATTTGTGGAGTTTTCTAACGTTGCACACTGTTTAATAAAAGTTTCTTATTTTGACACATTCTCATGTCTGGTAATCCACGATGATGATGAGATGATCCCTTAGAAATCTCAGGTGGTCTGAGCAGTGAGAGGACTCCGGGTCAATACTTGAATATTTTGAAATACTTTGAATTGTAACTATTTAGTTTTTAGATTCTTAGATTTAAATTAAGTAGAATGGAGTAATGTAGCCAGCATCCCTGGTAATATCCTTTTTTTTTTTTTTTTTTTTTGTGGTTATGCCCTGAATTTCACATTTCTTTCCTGTTTTCACCTTACTGAAAGGTCAAATGTTATATGTAGTTTTAACTCAAATAAACTCAGTATTTAGCTTTAAAAAAAGCTTTGTGGTTTATGTAGTTGATTTATCTTCCACCCATATATTCAAAAAAAAAATGTTGAAGTCTTCATACGGTGTGCCGAGCTGAACATTTGGATGTCGCTGCTGCGGTATAACTCTGCTACATTAACAGCTGTAAAAAAGATCATAAAAATGCACTTTCCTTCCATTAAATGGCTGCACGTCTGTCTGTTTGCTAATCTATTGCCTCCATCTTCAGATTTTCCCTCTTATTTGGATTCCTTTTTGGCCAACTCCGATTAGGAGCTCAGTCACACTGGATTCATCTGTCATGTGCAATTTTCAAAGTTGGCAAACAAATCTGTAGCCTCTCGGGCTGATTGTTTTCTTTGAAAGAAAAAGAACCGAGGTCAGTTTAATTCAATCAACCTGATGCTTGAGGAAACCCCAGGTCAAAGCAAGCGAGAGTGTAAACACTTCTGAAGTGGAGGTGGTGTTTGTGTATGTGTGCATGGGAGAGTGAGCAGGAGCATGTTAGGGAGCTGCGTTTGATTGGAAACAGAGCTTGCCTGGAGTCAGAAACACGATGCTTCTTCCTTGGTTGTCTCCTTCATCAGACAAAGCACGGACACACCGACAGACACTGCTGGACACCCCTAGTCCCAATGCATCCGTATCTCTTTCCCTATACAATGGCGCTGTTTGTGTCTGGTTTAATTGGCAGGGATGTCACTCTAGCTTGAAACCACAGGAGAGAACTGAGTGGCTGCTGATTCCTGCCTCCATTTGGAGAGTAATGAAGCAAGCACTGATATCACTGATTCCGTACACACTCTGTCTCTGCGAGAGATTCACAACAACTGAACCCTTTCGCACAGACATTTTTTTGTCTGCTTGGGTAATAATGTTGAAAGGAATATTTGCAATCCATGATACATATTGTGTTTTTCTGTACTTGCTTATACCATCTTTTTAATACTTCCACGATGGCTTTTTGCAACTCCAAAGAACTGACAACCAAATTTAAAGTCGCAATGAGTGATGAAGCAGGCTCAGTAGCAGACCCACAGGGCCGCATTTAACCCCAGGACACTTGTTTTGCATGAACTTTTCTCCCTCTGACCACAGCTCTCATTGAGCTGGGCCTTGAGCACAAAACCAAGCAGTTTTAATAGTCCCCTTGTGTCTAAAATCTTTTTTCTTTCCTTAGAAGCAGTTGCTAAACCCTTCCAGTGGAATGACTAATGGCCCTTGATCCGGGAAATACACCAAGACAGGCTGGAAGGGTTGCCCATACTAATAGGAAATTTGTCCTTTTTTTAGTGTCAGATTTCTTTCTGGTCCAAGACATTTCCATTTGACCTTAAGAGTTTTGAAAATTTGTTTGGGAAGCAAGAGCTGCCAGTCGCCTGAAAGACTTATCAAACTGTTTTATTTTGTTGTTTATTTTGAGGGTTTTGCTTTTCTTTCTCTTTGCTGTTTGTGCTTAATTTTGGAAATAAAACAACAAGCATTTCCTGAGAAACCTAATATACCTAAGAGTGAACTTGTAAAATCTTCAGGGTAGGGTTTTAATGATATAAAACACTCTTAGAAAACAACTTTGAAATCACTTCGGCTGGTGTGAATACCAAAAAATAGGTTCGGTTTTTAGCTCATGCCTTAAAGGTTAAGGCTAGACTTGCATTTTTAGAGTGAACAAACACATTGTTTAAACCAAGGCAGACACATTATCTCCTGTTTGACTTTTTTCTCCAAGTTCTGCAGTGTTTTTAGATTAAATTGAAAATATAACCAGCAAGATAGTATCAGTTATCATAAAGGTAGACATAACAACTCAAACACTACATGGTTGTTTGGAAACTCATCAAATACCAGCACATTGTTTGTCAAACATGGAAGGCTGAGATATTTTTTCATGGACAGCTTTATGAGTATCTAATATCACATTTATTGGCACTTTGTCTTTTTGTTAAAAGGTCATTTAATGTTCCTTATGCAACACTTAATTGAAAAAAGAAACCTCAAGTATTCAAACTAAAACTTGCCGTGTCTTTGATTATGTACGTCCATTAAAGAATGGATATGACTAGACTGAATAATAGATTAACTTATGAGTACAAATCGAATGTAAAATGCATGAGTGCTTCTTTTATCTTATTAAGCTTTAAATACATTTAAATATTCACTGCATCCAAACATTAATTCCTGCACATACGCACACCATAAAATATACACAGATGCATTTGAACAGGGCCAGCACTTGTAGAGGCTGAGAGCAGCAGGCCATTAGTCAAGTTTTATAGCCTCAATGGGCCTCACAATGCCAACAGCACGAGATAGTAAATGAAAACCACTCTACCCAAACACAGACCCTCGGTGGTTATAAAAGTCAGATCTAAATGGTTGATTCCCTGTGGTTTTCATTCCAGCACTCAAACAGTACAAGGATTAAGGGCAAATTACACAATTTAAACAAAAAGTTGCCGATCGGGGATGTGAAAAAACAAAAATTTAGAGTGGAAGTGTTTCCTTACATGTTATTTTTATCTGAGGACAAATAAAACGGATTCATACAGAAAGATATTGCCTTTACAAAAAAAAAGCTCTGTTTTTCAGAGTAATTTTTTTTTTCTTCTCTGTTTTTCAGAATATTTTCGCCCCTGTTTTCAGACTTTTTTTTGTTTGTTTTGTTTTCACACTAATTGTTTTTCCTATTCTCTAAGACCATGACCATTTAAAAACAGACGCTTTCATCCCCCTCTGCTCAATTTATTGGAAGCAAACATGGCCCACTAGTTTAGATTAATCGAGTTTTACTTTCTTTTGTGTTTGAGACACTGGGAGATACTCCTTTCTTTAAGTCAGATAGATCGAATCAGTTTAAGTTTGTCTACTTTGCCAGGCATCCTTAGGATTTGCATACCCTATGTTTAACTATTAACACGCCATACCTGCATTGACCCCCGTAGTGGAAGTTATCTAGGAGCTGGAGATTACGCTCATTTGGAGCAGCCGCGGTGGTTAATGTTATCTGATTGTATGAGATTCTCGCAGGATCTTGAAGTATCTTGTTTAGTCAGGGGAAAAAAAACGTGAGAAAAACAGAAAGACGGAAAAAAAGTACGAAAAACCGAAAAGAAAAAAAAATCTGAAAAAACAGAAAAACGAAAAAAATAGTACGAAATACGGAATAAAAATTTGTCCAAAAAACAGAAAGGGGAAAAAATATTAGTACAAAAAGCAGAAGAAAAAAATAGAAAAACATTAAAGAAAAAAAATACTCAAAAAAAAAAACACCCATGAAAACAGTTTTGTTTTTTTTTTTGTAAGTGAATGCAATATTTTTCTGCGGATTCACACAAGTTTCAAATCCTTGATAAAAAGCATTATGTTGAATGTTGTAAGATCAGACCTGCCTGACTTATTTGTTATTAAAAGGAGACGACAAAGTGTTAGCAGCTTATTCAACATTTTATAATTTATTTGCAGCTCACATGGAGAGTTACGTAGAATTTTAAGTATAATGTAATTTTCTAAATTATCTTAAGTCTATACCCTCTTACATGTGACAAATATATTGTGTTTTAAAGATCTGAATGTGTCACCAAATGATGTGATAAGGTTGCGGGAAATTGTCTTACGGATATCAACCAGTAGCTAAACATATTTCTCTCTTTAACAGTGTTGTTGACTTTCCCCAAATCACTGCAGTGGTGATTGAAATGACCTCATAAGTGGGTTAACATTTGACTCAAACCTAAAATAAATCAATAAAGCTCAAAGCTGTAAAATTAAAATGAATTTTCCATTTCGAGTTGTACTGATGCAAACCAAGCCCTTTTTTGCAGAAACGTGTAATTTAATGGAGACGAGGGCTGCTGCTTCTCCTTTAAACCTGTTGAACTTTGCTCACGTAATAAGTTTTCAGTGCATCATGAAATGCGGTGTCATCTGTGCAGTTAAGGTTAGGCCTAGTTTGTAAATAATAGAGCGGTGATTGTTTTCTTCCGTGCAATCAAAAAGGAAATGATCAGAAACTATATTCAACAAATGTAATTACCCACCTGGCCGGATGAAAAAAAGCAGCAGCAGCAGAGACAAGTTCATATATTGCGTATTATGTGAAAGACTGCTGTAGCACAGAAAGTACATAAAGATTCGGAGAGTGAAGGGACATGTTGAAATTCTTGTTTTCTCCTGGATTTTCTTTGATGTTCATCATTCTCAAAGGTCTTAGAGCCCCTCTAATAATCTGTGTTTGGCCATTCTTGTATTTTTGACTGTTTTCAGCACCCTTAGATGATTTCAAATAGATGGAAGAGTTATTATTATATATATATTTTTTTTGTTTGTTTTTTTCAAAGGAAACCAAGATTATCATGCAAGACACTTTACTACCTAACCTAAGTGTAAACCTGCTTTACCTTTAGTTTGTTAACTTCAAAGACTGCCAGGATCTGCGCTCTGTCTTGTTTTGTCCAATATGAAAGCAGTTTAATAGAAGAGTAAAAATTCTGCTCAGTGCCTCCCCCCGAACCTGTATCGCCCTCCCCACCACACCCCCTCTGGCAGAACAAGAAGCCGGCCGGCAGAAGATCCTACGCTAGCTTCAAACAGGATTCACCATGTCGGATTGCTAGTGACTAGTGGCAGTAAACACCAGCTCTGCCAGCGAGCACCGTCTGCAGCTGCCTGGACAGCTACCGTGTTGACATTGCAGAGACTAATAAGAGTTACTTATGTAACATGTGCCGCGATAAAAGGCAAAGATTACCTGTTCAACAAAAACTCTGCTGTTTCGGCGTCTGTTTTCAGGCTCAAATCCTGGTGGAGCTTTCTCCTCTGCTCGAAGGATGACCCGATGTTTATTCGAGTTGGATTCCTCACTTGTTCACATTTCCTCTTTGACTCTGCCCTTTCTTCTGTCAGCCTGTGTTTTCTTTCCACTTTTGGTGGTGGGGCAAGCAAAGGTGTTTTTTTTTGCGTCCTTCTCCTTAACAGCTCCTGTTGCTAAGCTGCTACGCTACTTTTAGCCACTCAAAGCTTCGAGGAGGGCCGAGAGAGTGGGAGGGGATGAGTCGAATACAGCGAGGTGATTGGATGGAGATTGATCAATAGAAGCTGTCTGGGATGGAACGAACTCACTAAAAGCTTTTTGAATGCCAAACTTGAACACAGTGACCTGAAACCTGCAGTGTGTTTTATAGCTATACTTCTAGATCTGTCCATTGGTGGTTGTACCCAGTTCTGCATTTTGGGCTATCTTTAGTTTATGCCAATGGAGACATCAGGACTGGAACCACATATAAACAGAAAAAGAAAATAGTTTCACAGTGGGAAGAAAAAGAATAAACTCTGTGAGGATGTTTAGTGGATTTCTTTGATTGGATTAAAACGATCTTGTACTAAAATTGCAGAAGTCTCTTCACCTCAGTGTTGGGGAAAAGCAGTGTTTCAAAATGAGTTGTCACTTAATGCCAAACCATGCTCAGGGGAATATTAAACCAGCCAGTTTATATTAATATGGTTTAACTGAATTACGACTTTGACATCACTGTAGTCTTTTCTTGGCATTTAAAACAGCCTTTAGTTTTTTTCCTAAGCCCTGCTGATATATTTTTGGAGTCCATGTAGTGTATCTGCTGCCTGATGTTGTGGTTTGAGTGATGCCCAGTGATGCCCAGACTCTAATTGTCCCTACGAGAGAAGTAAAAGTTTGCTGAATTGAATTACTAACCATATTTGTCTCTCTGACTTCTTTGACTCTGAGAGACGTGAGGGGGTCACTCATCAGCAGCTTGTGTAATGCCCTGTGAGACCCCTTTTCTGGTTAAAAATATGAACATAAACATCTCACAGTACTCAAATGTCATCAGGCAAGACACCAAATAGCCTTCTGAAGCAATTGTGTCACACAGAGAATGACTTTGTGCTCTGACCTCCCTGTAGGGAAAAGCAAAGAAAAATAGACATTTTAGAGATCAGTGGTCTGTGAAGTAGTTCCCTTCCCTCAGGTGTATTTAAGCCTGGAGTGAGCGCACCAGACCCCACATTTGAACCCATGGTTCTGTGTATTTTTATAGATTTAATAAAGTTTTTACAATTCTTCCACCACAAAAACAGTCCTGTCTCCAAATCTCCTCCTCTGGGTGTTTTTCCTTTGCTGCTCTGTCAGGGCTTATTACTGTGTTCAATGGTAGACACATGACACTGACCGCTGAGATGGATGAGGGCTATATTGAAGGTGAAATGGAATTCTATTTAGGGTTGTCTTTCATCAGCATTAGATGCTAAGTATAGGTACCATTTAAAATCAAAATGCCTGAAATGAGCTCTATTTATGTCACGATGCATTTGACTTAATCTTCCACTCCATGGCAACCTATATCAGCAACATGTTGCTGTACTGTAGGGACTCTGTCTCCAATACTGTATTTTTCATCAACTTTAATTGGTCTTTAATTTTTTTCTTATTACAAGAGAGCCTCACAATTTGACTGTAAATTGTGTTTGCAGCTCTTGTGCAGACATGAAAAAAAAGTTACATGAAGCCATTTGTGCTCTCAGAAGCATTGTGAAGTGTTGTGTGTAGAGTAATTACTCTCTCAGGTTATGTCACTTAAACACACAATTACAACAACATCTTTGTGAGCTATTACACTTCTGTGAACAATGTGTGAGTGAACAAGATGATGGACGACAGAGCCAGCTTCCAGAAGTAAAGGCAAAATAATAAGAGCTCCCCCTGGTGACTGCCTGCAGTATAGATTATTAGGCCTATCTCCTCCATTACAACACGCGGAAAATGGGCCAAACTAGAAAACTGAAAAAATAGACAAGAACAGCCATGGATTTTTCTTTTTTTAATGCACTTTTAATTCATGATAACGACTTATTATGTCATTATTTCAACATAACAAAGACCCTTTTCCAATGATAACAGAAATGGCATTTGAGTCAGGGCTCGACAGTGCGACTGTTTCACTCACATTTGCGACCAAAACTAGATGTGTGCGAATTGTAAAATGTTTTTAGGGGCATGTGTGTGCAGAGAGAAATCAGCTGAGGCAACAAATGTTTTTTTCATGTATACCCCGGTGAAGTTTTTTTTAGGTTGGATATCCGACGGACATTTATTGAGGATCTAATGAGGTCTTCTCTCTCTCCATAACCGGGAATAGCAACAGCAGCGCGGTTAAATCTACTCGGCATCCTCGCTGTCAACATCGGCTGTTGAATAAGGGACCATCAATAAATTACTGGTTGATGTTCTCAAAAAAGGCTGTTTTCCTTCAATAGCTTTCATGTCCTGGACCAAATGACTTGAATTTATTTCAAATAATAATACTGAAGTCGGACAATAAGACACACCTCTTTTTTTCTCAAATTTGTCCTCCCAAAATTTTGGGGTTAAATCTAAGACCGAATTTTGAACCTTTCCTTCAGTAGCTTCCATGTCGTGACTAAAATACCAAAATTGATTTCAAATACTTATGTCGACAAATAGACACACATTATTTGATTAATTTTCATTGTGCCCCTAAAGTTCTTTGTGTGTTCCTTACTTTTTCAACTTAGGAGCACATGTGCTCTTTGTGAAAAAAAGTTAGTGCCAAGTCCTGATTTGAGCAGACCTAAAACAGTAACTCTTGAAAATGCCCCCCAGATTGGAATATTTCTGAAATGCTGCAGCCACCGTTGTCAGCGGCAAGCTGGAGTTTTCAATGAAAACACTAACAGCACAGTCCACTTTGTGCATACGCATCACACTTTAAACATGGGAACCATTAACTGCCATGCACTAATCTGACAACTACAGTAGCAATGGCGGACACATCATTAATTAGTTTGTTAGACTGAAAAACCCCAACAGTCCTGTCTTTAACAGGCAGCATTAAAGGGGCAATCTGTGGCAGGTAACTTAAAAGTTACCTGCCACATAATTTGTGGAAGTCTGGAGTAAGACAGACGTGACTGCATCAGGCCTTGTGACTATGTAGGCTATCAGCTTCAGGCCACACCAAAGACCACTTACCTTTTCAATATACTGGTGCTGGTGTGATGTGGATCATCATGGTTTTCACAAGAGATTTGTTGACCCAAGAAGATAACATGGCTCTACTGCATCTATTTAAAATCCTTCTCGGTCACAGATTTTGCTTTAGAGTGAAATGCTGAAGGAGTGGAGTGTTCTTCATGTGAAGCTTGATGGGGACTAAATCCATAATTTTGTCCAGAAAGATTTTACTTTTGGATAATAACAAGCAAAAGTTTCAGGTACCAAGTGAGTGCATAACTTAATTTCTTAGTTTTAATATCCACTTAATATTCTAGTCTTATTGGTCCAGTGCAAAAAGTTTGGGAGTAGTGATAAGGGCTGATTTACACCATGGTAGAGCAATAAGATGCTGTATTTTTGGTGAAGGGTTGACCGTGTAACAGTTTTTCTTTTGAGACAAAACAGTGCCAGCTAGTTATCTTCGGAAGCGAAATGGACAAGGCAATTAATCAATATTCATTGGACAGCATTTATAGGCTGCAGTGACAAACCCAAGCCCCATTTATTTCACATCAGTCCATGCAGATCAACATAATGTTCTGTAATTGTTACACTCTAAGTGTCCATTTTTTTATACTCACAAATTTGATTTCATTAACAATGTCATTTAAAACTATTTTCTCGAATCATATTCATTTTAGTAAAAGCTATTACAGGCGCCTCAGTCCATTTGTTCAGTGTCTTTGTAGTCCAGAAAATGAAAACTTTTCATCATTTGATATACTTTCTGCAGCCTTGCACACAGAGAACCCTCTTCAGTGTATCATAAACTGATTATAAAACAGGAGGTAATACATGGGTTCCTGTGCAGATTTGATGTTAAAGTAATCCAAATCAATCTCAGCTTACCGTCAGTAATAGTTATCTTTCATTGCCAGAACTCTCTCTGCAAAGTTTGCACTATTCCAGCAGCACAGAAAGTAATATTACACCCATTTCCACAACCACTTTAAAATGTGTAGATGTGCCTGCAGCATTTACGTCATGGTAAAAATGTGTGTGCTTAGAGCTGCAGTGGTCAGTCTCTCACTCATTAATCAATTTACTCTTTAATCATCCAACACGACCTCTATTCTGTTTTCATATCTGCAGTGAAATTCACTGATTCTCCTGATATGCCAGGTCAAAGCTCATCCCAGTCATTTGAACTGATTATTTAAGATAAGACAAGTGGGAACAGAGTGTACATGAAGCCATAGAAGGCAGTGAAGAGAGTGTGCAGATAAATTCTTGGAGTCTTATCTCAAAGTGGGAAAAGAGGACATCAAGGTTAGGTGGGGGGAGACCTTGGTTCCCAACATGACAACCATATTTTTGATAGGCTTTATTTGACAATTCAAAGTCTCCTGTGAGGTTTTTTTTTTCCTTTATATAACAATGCACTTAAGTTTATGTTCATTTATCATCCATCAGTTTAAGAAAAAGTGCTGCAACAGCGGAAAAGATTTACCGTAGAGGAATGGCAACATGCTCAGCAACAAAACAACATACAAACAATGCTGTTATCCATGCCTTCATCCCATCATGCTTTGTTTACTGCAGCAGTCACTTAACCTGCCACAACTAAACAACTATAAATCAGCTCCAGATTGCACCAAACTAGAACTCCTGGACTCTTGACCAGAACCAAAAGATTAATGCAAGTTTATAATATTGCTTCACTGGCTCTTGATGTGTCTTATGATCAATTTTGCTGTTGCCTCGATATGATATGAGTCCAAGATCCTCAAGGAGAGTCTATATATGTGTTCTTAGCTGGAAGCAAGGGGTGACAGAGCATTTGAAACTAAAGTCCTGAAGCTCTGGAATGAGCTACCTAAGAAAATCAGGTCAGCAGACTTATACTTTTGCAGAGATTTTCTCGAACCCACATCAGTTTATTGATCGTCTCATTGTTGGTGGTGTTGGCCGTTCATGTCTCCTAATAGAAATCTTAAAGACTGCATGTTTGCAATCATCAGCCAATGTGTAAGGGGTTACTTCCTTGTGAACTAAAATCGGAGACCTCCTAATACATATCCAAGTTGACTGGATCATCAAGTGTTGTGATTGTGAATGTAAATATATATACAGTTAAATCCTGAGTATGAGGTACTCCACTTTATAAGATGTAGCCTGTTTTTGGGAGGCTCCCAGAGGGGAAAAAAGGTTTAAACCTCCTCCTGTGTGGCAAATTCCTGCATGTTCTGTAATGTGCAGTTTCTGTGCAGACGTGGTTGTGACTTGTGCTCAGGGTACGGTGATCAAGATAGTAGCAAGACTCGACTTGTTTATTTACAGTGAATTTCTCGCTACCCTTTTGGTTGTCAACTGATGATCTTTTCAGTCGAACAAATGCTCCTAATGTTTATTTAATTGATAGTATTCTGCCACTTTATTTAAATGCACGTTTATGACTTGGCGAGGAAAGAAAGCTGTAAAAAAGTGGTGCTGCTACATAAGTCTGTACTGCTTTATTTGAGTAGGGGAGTGGCCACTTTCAATATCATCTTCTGGGTGAAATACTGTTACACAATAAAATTCTCCTCTAGGCATTTCATACTGTTAGACTCACCGCAGTAGTGCAGGCCCGTTTTTAATATTTGCAGCTCACTTTTTAATATTTCACAGTGCGTAAAACACTCACTGTTGTTTTGTCTGATATAGAATACCTGTTATGTTCATATCTGCCTGCAAAGGTGCTGTTGGTTTGTCACTTATATTCTCTTTGATTCCTAAACATGGAGCACATCACATCTTTATGAATCACATCATGCTGCTGCAATATCTGCTAAAAATGTCTTTCAGCCACTTCCACTTCCAGTTTGCTGATCACAGAGGGGCATGGCTTTCCAAAGTTTCCAAAATTGGACAATTTAATTTCTATTTCTGCCCTCAAGGTGTCTATTTCAGACTCCTCTCCTCTTATGCCTGCAATTCTTACTCATCAAATGCACTTTGAAAATACTACAGTAGGTTTTGCAGGAATAAAGCTTTCTCCTCTCTACCCCTTCCTCTGCTATGATATCACCGTGTTTTGACTCTGCTGGCTCTGAGAGCTAGTTCTTAATATATTTGTCTGGTATTATGCAAAGGTGAAGCAGAAGTAGAGGTTAAATAAAAGCAAATATTGGGGAGACCCAGCAGGAAATTGAAAACGGCGGACCAATCGTGGGTACCCTCCGGAGCTGAACCTCTCTTCAGTGGATTTCATGGGATGATTTTTGACCCTCAGCTCCACTTCCAAGTTAAACCCTTGAGTTTTTATTTTTCTCATGGTGGTATTTGCAGGTTTTTACACAGAAACAGGTCCTCAAAAGAAACTATGTGGTTTAATATAAATATATATATATATATATATATATATATATATATATATATATACACATTATCTTTTGTATTGTATCAACAATAGGTTTTGTCTCAAAAATGCTTCATTTGAGAGATAAATATAAAGAAAAAAATGCCTGTCTGAGTCCCTGGGAGATATTTATGACGCTGGCATTTTTTTTCTGCTCCTCAAAGATCGGCTTACAGTCACATTGAGTGGGCAGCTTTGTTCTTGGATTTTTACCTTGATTACTTCTTCCATGTCCAGCTTTGACATCTTTCAGGCCTGGTGGACAGTTTTGCACCTGATAACAGCTCAGTCACATCATTTTTTCTTCTGAACTCCACAGTGATGTACCTGAGCATGCTGGACTTTTTGTAAAAGAGTTTGACTCTTTGCAACAAAATTAGTGTTTCGAACAGGAGACATGGATTGTCAGGAGCTGGTATGAACGATTGAAAGCAGGCCTTGATAAATAATGCAAATCAAGCCTTTGGATGGCGTGAATTCAGGAGATTTAAGAGTTTATTTTTTCTGTGGATTAGCTGGAAATATTTTGATGATGTGACAAGTCTTCTGCTGGATCTCTCACAGACTCTTTTAAAGAAGATGCCACCCATTGATTTCTAAAGGTAGCTATTGCAAACAAACTTTTTGCTAAACTAGAAACCTGCAAAAGTGGTAGAATTGGGGCAAACAGATACAATGCACCTACCCACCAGTCACTTCAGCCTAACCTCTGATGATTGATGAATATTAGAGATGCACCAATAGTGAAAATTAGATCATAAAATTATGTCTTACAGATTGTAATATATTCTCAGACACATTTTTTCTCATGCTCGATCACTAAAACCAATCACTTTCCACGGGGGGGATTTTTTGCCTAACAATAAAAAACTTCTCTGAACTGGGATTATTAATGTGATGAAGATAAAACAGGTTGCAACACTGTACAAATGACTATCAGCTGACATTGGTAAATGATACGTGTTGGACTGATTTGCTGACTGATGTTCACCTGATACACCTGTGCATCCCTCATTCCTAATAAGTATATATGCAACTCTTAACCATTGTAGAACACCTTTATAAAATCAAAACTTAGGTGTGAAAACAAACGTTATTCTGCAAAATACTAAGAGAAAACTGGTTTTGATAGTATCAATCAGCCTTGGGTGAAAAATTGTTCCAGTTTGGCTGTAACTGACTTGAAAGATATAAAAATATTTTATTGTAATGGCAAAAAAATATATATAAATTTGAACTTGAACTCACAGGAGAGTGGAACTTTCAGACCAAAAGACAATCTCAGGAAAATTTAAGTCAAACAAGTCATCTTACACATTAGATGTTATTAACAAGATCTTCTTGGTGGTTTTGTTTGTTTTTGTAATTATTAAGTGGTATCTGTATTTATTTCATTGCATCCAAAAATCAACTAAAATTAAGAAAAAGGATTAGGGCCGCAAGAGAAAAAAAATTACAGGAGGGAGATTTTTTTAATTTCTATTTCGAGACTAAAGTGGAAATTTCGAGATGAAAGTCAAAATTTTAAAAAGTTGAAATTTCGACTTTATTCATGTCGACTTTCATCTTGAATTTTTATTTTTATTCTCAAAATTTCGACATTATTCACATTTTGAAAATAAAAAATAAATTTGTCATGCCCAAATTTCAACTTTAACCTTGAAATTTCCATTTTTAATGTCAAAATTTCGACTTTATTGACATAATTTCGATTTCTTAATCTCGAAATTTAGACTTTAATGTCCTTTCTGTAATTATTTTTTTTCTCTTCTTGTGGCCCTTTCGTAGAAAAACCCCTCAAGACCTGTTAAACATTTAAAATTTGAGTTTTAAAACATGATGTAACTATTTCCCCACATAGTTTATGACAGTCTTTCTTGTTAAAGGTCAGATAAACAATTTCTCCCACAGGTGTGTTAGTCTATGCAAGATGTATTTTTCATAGAGTTCTCGTCTCTGGCCTGTCCTCACAGCACTTGTTTGTTTTTTCCTGAATCTCCTGCAGCGTAATCCCTGTCTATGACATTATTGTAGGGATAAAGAGTTGAGGTGAGCCGTCCCTCGCCTGCTGGTGTCTCCGAGCATCTTCCAGACCGCAGAAGGCATCTCTGCAAACAGCTGTCCTTCCAGAGACAAAACATTTCATTTGCTTTCCTCTCATCTGCTGATATGCCTCAGACAATTGGATTTGTATCCTCTCCAGTTGCTTGTTGCTCAGCAGGCAGCAGAAGTGATGGATGTACTGAGGTTTACAAAACAAATAAAACACAAACATTTGTGTACTTCAGAGGGGTTTTAATAAACAGGGGACCTTATTGTGGAAAAAGAAGGATAGACTTGTAAGTTTGTTCTTGCTGACAGTCTATGTGGATCAATGCTCAGACTGCTGACATTTTCACTTGATTTTATTAACCCATGCTTTGCCGTCTCCTTATTCTCCTGCCTTTGTCCCCCCAGTGTGCCCTGGATTGATATTTGACAGTGCGTGAAATGGAGACAGAATGAAACCTGTTTTAATACGAGTCAATCACAGCACTCTCTGACGTTAAGGGGATTGTAAATACGGTACAGAGGAGGGAGAGAAACAGCAGCTCTGTGTTAATAGCTCCAGAACACTGTGGATATAATCATTTCAATAGCTTGTAAATGAATTGGCACCTCGGAGACAGCACACAGCATTCATCCTGTCAAATGCATTTTCTAAGAGAAGCTTGTCCACAAGGGCCTTCTGTACCAACCTGTGTGTCATAGAAAGTGTCCACAGTTGTCTTGCAAGTTGATTTTACTTTCATATTTTCTTGTCTTCTGTTTTATCATGATGTTAAACACAAAATTTTCTGAGCAACTTGTGTCTACAGACCCTTTGAGGTTTTATGGATGCCATTTACAACCATAAACTATCTCCAATCTCCCTGCAGCTGCTGCTCTATTAGACGACAATATTTTTTATATGTGCACATTTGCTTGCTGACTTTTATGAGGCATTTCAAACTCTGAGGTCGAAATTTCGAGGCTGAAATTTCCAATTTCTGATTTGAAACTATTTAAATGCACGACACCAAAAATAACTAAAACAAAATAGCTTACATTTACAATTTATATTGCGATCAGTGTTTCCCCTGGAAATTTTTTCAGCAGCAGTTAGGGGTTGGGGGGGATTTCCTTAGGTCAGTCTTCGCCTAGAAATTTTAGCTGGTACCCCCACTCTCTAGCCACCCATGGAGCTACACGCTGTTACCATTCATTAGGTTACTTTACATTACGTTATGTTACTTTACATTACTTTACGTTACGTTACCCGTAACGTGCTACTCGCTATATGAACCGTGTAAAAGCTTGAACTTTACCCTTCACATGAATGGAAGAGGGTGACAGGACTCGATGCGCTTGTGATGATTCGGAACAAGTCGAAAAAAATCTGGTGTGTTGTTGTGCTCACACAGTGCAAGTAGAAATTATTAATGGTACATTGATATTAATGCTACTAATGCTGTTAACGCTACTCGCTATAAAGACCGTGTATAAGCTTGAACATTACATTTCACATTGATGCTCGTTGATGACTTAAAACAAGCTAAAAATAACGTGTGTTGTTGTGCTCACACAGTGCAAGTAGAAACCATTAGTGGCACATTGATATTGATGATCATGTGAAATTTCAGTAGCAGTGCATGTAATTTGAATGAATGTAGGGGAAACACTGACTAATGTACTCGTACGTTCATTCCTCTTGGACTGGTATTTTGGATGTTACATGGATACGCTGTAGAATAATTGTGACTTACTACGTGACGCTTTTCTAGCTAAATTGCAGTGTCATTATTCATCTTTATAGTGTAGCAATGTTATTCCACGGCTAGCGAAGTTATTGCTCCCTGTATTTGAGTATTTTCTTAAGCTAATAACCACTGCAAAGATGGCTGTGGCAGACTTAAGGAGTCAACACAATGCAAAGATCTTGTCCTCTAAAGAAGCTAACGTAACTGCTAAAGATAGATTTCATCACTTTTTGGAGATTTCAGTGGTTCTATAGAAAACACCATACAGCCTCAGTTGTGTGGTGCTGGTAATGCCACTCCTGTCACCTCTAGGTTATCTATAAAGAAGATTACAGAGCACATACCAATAGACTTTTCATCTTGTCAGGTTTACTGAAAATAACACACTTAATGGAGCTAAGAACACTTCTGGTGGTGTTCAGAGCGAAAGACAAAGTTTTACCAAAACAGCTGCAAGGGTTATTTGAAATTAGTTCAGAGAGTGAAAACCACAGGAGACCATATGATTTGAAACACCAGTTTGCTCGGACGACGCTGAAGCAGATGTGTATTTCTGTTGCAGGTATAAAGTTATGGAATTCGCAAAATAATGAGTTGAAGAGTTGTACAACAATGTTTCAGTTTAAGAAAAAGTTTAAAGGAGGGAAAATCAAAAATTATGAACTGGATGAATTGGATGACTGATGATGTGTCAGATTGTTTTTTGTTATTGTTTTTTTGTTTGGTATTTTCTTTTGTTTGTTTTTTTTTTGTGGTATTTTTTGGACCTTAATTGTATAATAATTTGATCAATTGCTAGCTGGTTGCCATAGATAAAGGTGTTGTAGTGAAGGGGCAGTCGTATATAAGACTTGTCTTCTGTCTGCTCCTTTTCATTTCACATGATTACACATGAAAAAAAAGGATGAGTGCAATGTATTGTATTATGTATCATGAATGAAATGAAATAAATAAACATGAAATAAAATCTGTTTATTCATTTTGTGCATTACTGTATGAAAGACATAAATGACCTGTGATAGAACTGTTCAGGGAGGTGAATGAGCTCATGTAAAAGTAGGAATGTGTCTCTCTTCACTTGTGGAAAGGTTGTGTTGAAGTTCACTCTCTGGGGCATGGTGCTGCAGCAGTCTCTGTTAATTTAAACACCAAAAAAGGCAGTAAGAGGTCGGTCTCTGGAGAGAGAGATGAAGCTTTGCTGACTTAAAACATGCTTTTTTGTTTGATATATTATAAGTTCATTATAGAGATTTTCTTGCATTGGTATTTATTGGTTCATTCGTGTAATGGAGTTCACTGTAAGTAAACTCCTTTCTCTGTGAAAATAACAAGTCAGCAGAGTTTGCTTACCTGTCACCTTTCTTGACACTTGAGCTTGGCTATTCTAAAGATGGGCATTATAATGTATTTTTCTGGTATGAGATCCTGTCTGCTTTAAACACAGTATCAATATATCATAAAATGTATTCATTCCCCTATAAGGGAAAATGTAATTGTGTAGTTTCCAGTTGGATCATCCCCCCTCTTCCTTCAGCCGAGCTGTTGCCATGCATGTATTATTCTGAACAGCTATGACCAAGAGTTTGCAGCTGCATAGCCTTCTGCTGCTCTTCAAATATCAATAGCTTTCAAACTTCATGAAAATTTATGAAGGAAATCCTCATTGATCCATAGCCAGAAGACAAAACTAGAGCCGAGGAGCTATTTTTAACTTCTTTTTCTTTCCTACAACCCCAATAACTTAGTGTTGCACATTTTGTTCTGAGAAAAGAGTGTAACCATGGAATAAAAACAGCACAGACTGTGAAGAATTACATAAGAGATGCCTTTTTAAAAAATGAAAAGAACCACTCATTTAATTTCATTGGACTTTAAATCCCCTTTCTGTCATGAATCTCATTTTCTCTCTGTAGTGTTGCTGTTTATTTTAAGAATCAAGGGCTCAAGCGTTCACCTCTGAGTATAGGCTGGCCACAACGTTTCAATCAGCCTGTGGTGGAGTCCCATGCTGTGGGATTTGTGGATGGACTAAGCTACAGAGGAAACACTTGGTCTGACTGTCCCCCACTGTATCAGGAGTCCCTGGGCCGAGGCTTCACGTAAATAGAAAAATCCTGCAGGCAGCCACAGAAAGTCTGAAAACACTTCAGTTACCTTTATGTCCAACCTGTCAGGCTGCGTTAAAGTCACACCCCAATGTTTTTTTTCCTACTTAAAGTGTTCACAGTGGTCTTTCAATTGTGATTATGAAGTTTTTACCAAAAATTGCGTTACCTGTGTCATTTTCAAGGACTTTTCTTCTGCAGAGCTCCAGTAGATCATTAGCAATTCGCCTCTTAGTTGTGGTTGGGGACAGCGCTGCTCTGCACACTTAGCTTGTAGCCTAACATTGCTGCTGTTGTAAAGGTGGCAGCTAACATAGGAGCTATTCAGCTTTCAGACACTAATGGGCTCTATTTTCGTGTACGCCGGTGAGGCGACGGAGGGCGGCGAGCCCTGCGCAGTTGTATTTTCGTCTGGCGGAGCCCGGCGTACAGCCAGTTTGGTATTTTCGTGGACTGAGGCGCACGGAGGCGAACCGAGATCCGCCAAGCTGGGCGTGGTGGCGTGGCAGGGGGAGGTGTCGACAGAATCAGCTGCCGCAGTGACATTTTCTTGCTCACCAGTGGCGTGTAAAGTGTGCTGAAAGCCGGCCAATTCAAACCTGGTCAGCTTTCAGCGCAGGCGGAGCGCAGCTGGTCTAGAGGTATTTTGATAGACCGGCGGCGTATCGGCATAGGTCACCGATGCCTCACCGGCAGGTTTCCACAGAGTCAGACACATTTCAGTGCAATAAATAATCATCATCAACTAATAATCTGAGTCAGCACATACATTTAGATCTATATAGATATATTCTGATCTATATCTGATCTGATGAGCACGTTTGGCACGCGTTTGGACACACAACCTGACCGAATCAACACAGCTGAAACCGCATTAAATTAAATTAAATATCTTAGACACACATGATGAAGTTAACAAGATATTTAATTTGTCTCCCTCCTTTTCTTTCTTCCTCTCACGCCATGTGTCTCCGTGTCCTCTCTCCATCCTGCAGCGGCTGAACAGATGATTTGTTTCAGTGCTCAGATGCGTGATCTACTTTAAGCCGACATACGGATATTATAATATTCAGTTTTGTGAGCCAAATTTATTTTATATGCCAACATCTATGAAAGAAAGAGCCAGGCCACGGAGCGCGATGCATCATTTACGCACAGATGGTTCCGATTTTAATGCCATTTATGGAGTTTATGTTGTGATCTGTGCGCTAAACCCACCTTTGTCACGTGAGGTTTGAATATATGCAACTTTATGTGAGTGTCTTTGTTTGTGGAAAAGGGTGTTTGTCTTACCAGTGGGTCCAACATTACACACACCAAATCCATCTGTGCTCATATGAGAGAGTGTGGAGGACGCCCAATGAAGCGCTTAAAGTGACACTTGTTGAGGAGCTGCCTTCTGTCGCCATCGTGTGGCATAACTGTCTTCAGACATCTCTTGATCTCTTTGACTACTTCATAAAAATAGTAATACGCCTCGCCGGTGGCAGATTTAAAGGCAAGGAGAGGAGCTTCTGTGATTGGTGAAAACAGGTCTCGGCTGTGTTAAATCCACTCCATGCCCTCTCTCCTCCCTCCCTACGACTTACGCCGCAGGGAGGAGCTGAGTTAGGGAGGGGGGATACTTACGCCAGGCTGCGCCGCTCACCAAAATACCAAATTGTGCTTGGGAACGCCTTGTCAGCACGGCGGACCTGACTTACGCCGCGCCTGCGGCACGTCTCCGGCAAGGCACGAACATAGAGCCCTAATGTCTTTAGGGATGTGATGAAAGCTTATATTATAATTAGCTTTCTTACAAGCATTGCAATCCACTAACGCACACGCGTGTTCTGGAATCGTACTCTGTATTTGTCCTCTTTATGCAGAGTGTGGCCTGCATAGCGGGGCTCCGGGGGCGGAGCTTGGATTGGTTACGTTTGAAATCTCACTGTTTCTGAACCTGCCGTTTGGGTCTGCCAGAGATTCACAGCAATTTGAATGAAGAAATATTCAGAAAAGCAATTTCGCATTTAGTTTTCTCATGGTATGTCCTGTAGCATCAGAAAAATGCCATATAAACATATAGACAACAAGAAAAACATGATTTTGATCAGAGTGGGTTGTTACAGGGATAGAATGAATAACTGTTCTCCAGAGCCACAAAACCTTACCACGTAGCAAGGGGGAAAACTGTAAATTTAGTCTAAAGCATTTGGCAATTTCTCAGCAGCAACGTGTGTTTTTGGGGGATGGGGACAGGCTATATTCAGGTGTTTTTGCTGTATGTGAGTGTATCATCGTGTATATTTTGTAATGCACAGTGAAAATATTTCAACAATTAATACTTTCTCAGTTTTCAAATGTTTTACATATTCGAAGGAGGCCTGACCTAAAGGCTATGTTTCCCCCTTATCAAAATGCATTGCGCTCCCATAAGATGTTTGCTGTTTGTTTCAGGAAAAAACTGCTAAAGTACGTCAATCTCCTTCTGCACCAAGCATGTCCTAAGTTTAACAAATTAAAAACAAAAATAAAATCGTTTTATTTGATGATTTGTGCATGAAAAAGTTAATATTTGATACATATTATACTCAACGAGATCATTTTTATTTTCAAAAGATGTGCAGGTCTTACATTAATAGGTGTTTCTTTGCAACTGTGAATGTCAACCTCTTATATTAAGGATTTCATAGTCTGCCCTCAAACTGTAAGATTAGCTCTTTGACTTGGAGTTCTGCAAAATCCTACCTACTTTTAAGCCAAGAGGCTTTTTTTTTCATATAGAGGGGGGTTGTATTAAATTGATCCGTCGGTAAGATAAAATCTTGCCAAAGAACAGAACATTCGGTCCACAAAAGTTGTTTGACAGAAGTTGCCCGTTTTCAGTTTCTCTCATTTGGCTTTGAAAATTATGCCAGTTTGGAAAATTTATGCAGCTTTCAGGAAGGTGAAAGAAAAATGAAAGTGTTACAGCCTACAAAAAATGACACTGAGAATATGACAGTTTGAAGTCCAGTTATCTGCTCTTGAAGTCAAGTAGCATTTTAACCCCGATGAAACTAATTGGACCCCTGCATTACACTTCCCTGGCAGTGTTTCTATTTCAAGGTGGATTCCTCAACCAACTCTCGTAGTTATATTTTCTGTTAAAGCAACACCTTTGTAGATATTTGATAAAACAGAATGTTAAACATCTGTCCCAAGGACAAGCACAGTACGAGTTTGGTCCCTTTCCTCACTTGTCATTCAGATTGTTTTACTCATCTTCTTTTCTTTGGGGACTCAAGCTCTCGTGCAAAGGCATATATAATATTCACATGCTAAGGAGAGATGATATAAGCCCTCTTTTAGCGCACTTTGAAAGGTCCGGCACCACTGGGACGCAGTAATAGAATAGTTCAAAAATGAGCTCTCCTCATCTATCACAGCAGGCTCGGATAGAACATCATGACCTCACTGTCTTTGACAAAATAAATCACCAGCTACGACTCAAAGGCCCTTGTCTTCCACGCGAGCAAGTAATATATTCTTTAATACATGTTATGTCCCATTTATCTTAAACATAACGCCGGCAACCCCCAGAAACTTCAATGTCACACCCAGAAACTTCAATGTCACCCTATCTCTCTTATTCTTTCTCTCTCTCTCTCTCTCTCTCTTTCTCTCTCTCTCTCTCTCTCTCTCTCTCTCTCTCTCTCAAGTCGGTTATCACCCAATCAAAAGGTCAGGGGTTCAATCCCAGGGCTGTCCACATGCCAAAGTGTCCTGAGGCAAGATACTTGACCCCCACCTGCCCACACTGGCTGCACCCAGTGGTGTGTGAATGGGATTAGTCAAAAACTGATGGTAGCAGCCTCTGCCATCTGCCATTTGTGTAGAAAAGTCAGTGTATTTTCAGCATGTAAACTTTCAATCTGTGTCCGTCAGGTTTATGTTAATTGTGAGAAGACAAGTCCAGACAAATTCAGGACCTGAGTCATCGTCAAATGCCAAAGGAATAAGTCAAAGACATGGATGTGTTTTCTCAGTTACAGCAGTTTAATGCTCTTTAGTGGTTGGGTTGCTCTTCCAGGTGAAAGAGTTACCTGTGTTAAGGGTTTGCAGAGACTGCAGGTTATTTAAAGCTCCATGAGGAAATTTTGGCACATGTCAACATTGGCACCCCCATTGAACAAAAACTGTCTCTGCAGTCTATTATGAATATATTAGGTGGGAAATGTAAAAATGGGCTCTTTCTTCAGCTGCTCAGCTGACACCTACCCCCTTGCACAGGTTTCAGGCATTAAAAATTACTATATAAAATTTATCAATCTTGTTTCTGACAGTCCTGTTTGCTTTCAAATATGATGAAAAGGCATCAACTTGAATTTCAGTCTATTTCATAAACCCTTTAGCTTTAACTGTACTTTATATCGTAACCCTTGTTCTGTGCGCAGTGTGTGTGGTGTATTGCACTGGTTTGTAGCTACCTATAGAAACAAAACAGGTCTCTGTGGAAAGATCATCTTTGTGTGCAATCTGCAGTTGTAACTCTACATATCATTTAACAATTTACAATGTACTCTGGCCACTTACAATAGCAGAGCAGCTTTTGGCTGCATGAAATAGAGCCCACGTCTGTTGCTACACATTACCATGCTGCTTTCTTCCAACCCTTAAAAAAAGAGATAAACTTCAGACCAAGATAAAAACTGAATTTAAGCAGGATGTAAAGATGTCACCAATAAATGTGCAGACACAGGGTGGTCGGTTTGTAGGACTAATGAAACGGCAGCTCATGATAAAACAGCTTGTGAAGCAGAGGACAGAAAAGAGATAAAGAAGATAAAAAATGACAGATGTTGGTGCATAAAAAGAAAACGAAGGAAGTTGACTTTCTGTCAAGGTCCTAATCTAAGATTGATTATTGTCCTAAATTTTTCTTTATCTTGGTAAAATGAATGTTAGTTGGGAATTTAGTGTCTATGACAATGATGTGGAAAATTTTTTATCATAGATAATAAAAGTGGCCCCAAAGTTAATAAGCAGCAGTGTGTCACTTTAGGTGCCCAGCCTAACAGTCCACCAGGAAATCTGAGTTCACCGTAGATGAGGAGTCCGCTGATTCTGTGAGTCCATTGGGGTTAAACTGTTCACTGATGTCCTCCTGCTGGCCCTGACCCTCAGCTGGAGGAAGGCAAGAAGCAGTTCATGGTGCACAGACGGACATTTTTCACTAGTTTTAGCAGCTGTAGCCCCCTAAGGTTGGATTTGACCTTCTTTACCTTGGTCTCCACTTGGAAAATGGGGTATATCCATGCTTGCATGTTCGTGTTTGGCTCCTTCTAAAATGGATGACAGTGGGATTTTTGAGATGCACACCGACAGTGTCAAGAAAATGAAAAATGAAGAGACGGTGATCATCTGGAACAGAGGAGCTAAAAATAGGCCAAAATTAACCAACAACTGAGTTGTGGTGCTGATGTTTTAGGTAATAGTTTTTCAGAGTCATTAATCAACTGTAAGGCAGCCAAAAAAGTATGGTGTCACAGAGTGTAATGTTTGTAGAAGGCAAACTCAGAAATAACCCTCCTACAGTGCTCCCAGCCAAAGAAAATAACACTCAAAGGGGGCTGCTTTTAAAAAGAGTCTGTGAGAGTAAATCACTGACAAACAGAACAAAGGTATGCCCATTACCGGTGCTGTCACCCTGCTGAAAGCCTTGGAGATCACCATGAGACAGAGGGCCAAAAAATAACAAACTACGGGTAATTTCTATTTTTCTGCTTTAAAATGAAGACATAGTACTTGTGCTCTAATGAAAAAGGTTTGGCACTATGGCCACATTTCTATCTGCCACCTTGGAGGGACTCAAAAATTAGCTCCAGCATCCCTCTGCAAATATACCTTCCATACAAAGTTTTGATCTTCTTTATACTCAAGCATTTACATACACAAGAAAGGAGATAAAGACACAAAGAAAATAAGACACGGAGAGATGTAGAAACAAAGACAGGGAAGGCAAAAAACTTGTTTGGGCAAGAACTCATCCCCACCAAAGAAGACTGTATATTGTACCTCCTTCTACTCCCCAGTTTTATGTGGAAAGAAAGTGAGAAAATCCTCAACCAGAAGTGCTTCAGTTTCACATGCGATTATATTTGACTCAATTCCAATGAAACCTTTTATTCCATGAACCATTAAAAATACAGTTTTGTTCCAAAAATCTTGTAAGCAGCCTCCTTCACTTCAATGCAGTTTGTTTGAGTTATATTGTATCGATGAAAAGAAGTGGTCTGCACAGTGTATAATTTGAAAGTAATATTCCAAAGCTTATCTTATATTATGTTGTGTAATTAAAGCTGCCATTTAAATGACATAATTAAAATTCAGATTCATTGCATGCTTACTCCAAAAGAGGCCTTAAAGACCCACTCCGATGAAAATCATGTTTTTCTTGTTTTTTATATGTTTATATGGCATTTTTCTGATGCTACAGGACATATCGTGAGAAAACTAAATGCGAAATTGCTTTTTTTAAGTATTTCTTCATTTAAACCAGACCCAAACGGCAGGTTCAGAAACAGTGAGATTTCAAACGTAACCAATCCAAGCTCCGCCCCCGGAGCCTTGCTATGCAGACCATACTCTGCATACAGAGGAGAAATACAGAGGACAATCACAGATCAAGTGTGTGTGTTAGCAGATTGCAATGCTCGTAAGAAAGCTAATTATGATATTAGCTTTCATCATGTCCCTCAGGACATTAGTGTCTGAAAGCTGAATAGCTCCTATGTTAGCTGCCACTTCTACTACACCAGCAATGTTAGGCTACAAGCTAACGTGAAGAGGAGTGTGCAGAGCAGCACTGTCTCTGCCCATGACTCAGAGGTGAGTTGCTAATGATCTACTGGAGCTCTGCAGAAGAAAAGCCCTTGAAAATGACACAGGTAACGCGTTTTTTGGTAAAAACTTCATAATCACAATTGAAAGACCACTGAGCTCAGTAGTTAAAAAAAATAAAATAAAAAACGAGCGTAGTGGGACTTGAATGTCCTCTTTTTACTGTGACTTGACGTTCATTTCACAAAGGGAATGTCTTTTTTCAGCCTTTTTAACCCTCATCTTTGATCTGTTGTGTTCAAGTACTTTTTGATGGCGTGTCAAAACATATCACTGTCACTTTTTTTTTGCACTATTAAGGATTTCGGGGAGAAACATTTCACCCTTGTGTAAGAAGCAGACTTCACTGGCACTCTGATGAATGAAGTCAAAACTATAAATAGTTCAATACAGACACACACCCTCTTTATCACCCCTTATGATATGGATCCATGTAGTGTTTTCTACATGGATCCATATGTTTTTTTTTTTTTTTTACACATTTTCTAAAAGTAGCATTACTCCTCTGTTCCTGAAATTGATTATCTTGCAATTTAATAATGGGTAATCTTATTTTAGGAATAATGTATTGTTTTCACTGTTTTAATTTAACTTACAAGCCACAAATCAGATAAAAGATCTCGATGTTTTATGATGCATTAGGAAGTAATCTACTTCATGGTTTTCCACAGGGCATTTTCAATAATCTAATAATAGAGTTAGTTGAAAAATATGGAGGCTGTCTGATGGAAGAACTTCAGATTACACTCCTACATTAAACCAGGTTGTGAAACGTTGCCATAATCAAACTCAGTCTGACATTTTCCTCGTATGACCACATAATGCTGACAAATACAGCAGGCCATACTGTTGATAATGACAGCGGTTTACATTGTGGTTAATAATGGTTCATTGCCATTTGTGAGTCCTTCCTTTCAACTTGTGTTAAACTTGTTCAACTCCTACTATCAGTGTCGACTTTAATCAGTCCAGTGATGCATATTGATGGTAGCCGTGGCTGACACCTAACATTGTTTAAATGATACTCAGCATGGATGAGACAGGAAATAATGAACAAATACTTAATCTAGTTACTGCAGGGGCAGAGGGACAGGAGATTTTTCAGTCTGCATGAGAAAACAGTGCAACGTGATGTGTGTACTGCAAGCTTTCCAGGTTTTCTGCATTAGTAATGAATGATAACACACATTTTAATCTGTATGTGCTTGTACAGACCATGGATGAGGACTTTTGGTATAAAATAGTAATCGATTGTATCGCTTATTTACACAAGAAAATAAACGGGTAAGTCAGTTGCTGTCACCCTGAGTACTACTTCTTATTCAGAAGTATTCACAATGCAAATCACAACATGGGTTAATGCATTCCTTAAACCCCTAAGTTAAAGGGATATTCTGGCGTAAAATTACTTTAAGGTCAAACACACCATTACACCAGGTTAGATACCCCCTCGAGAGATGAATGTTGCCGACCGCTTGTTTCTCTAGTTATACCAACTTTAGTAACAACCACAGGATGGTAATACACTGCGGCTGTTTCTTCATGGAAATGTAATCAGACTGAGACTCTTAGGCAGAAGAACTACTGCTTCTGCAGTGCAAAATGATTAATATGATGATTATTATTTCAAGGAAATGATAAAGTAATGATCATAAATGTTCTTCCTTGAGCTGTGTCACCCCGCAGCGGTCTGTAATGGACTGGCCCGAGGTCTCGCTACAAACAAGCGGTTGCTGAAAGAAAGTGGGTAAGTTGTGTTTAGTCTCTTTGCCAAAGAAATTAGGCAAAGTTAAAAAGTTTTTGTAGGCTAGTGCTGGGACCCCATATGTTCTGTTGATGAAGTTAGGTGCTGTTCTGAGCATTATTTGTGGCTATAGAGTGGCGTTTTGGTTGAGGTTTGTTAATGGCTCATCAGGCCGCTGTGTATTGCTATCCTGCGGCCGTTACTAAAGTTGGTATAACTAGAGAAGCAAGCGGTCGGTAACATTCATCTCTCGAGGGGGTGTCTAACTCGGTGTTACAGTGTGTTTGACCATAACTTAATTTTATGCCAGATTATCCTTTTGAATAAAAACAATAAAAGTAAAATAAAATAATGTCCCATATTTATTTAGTATTTTGATCCAAGGTTTATCTAGAAAATGTGGTCAGTAGTTCTTTGATTAAAGTGGCTTTGTTATGTTGTTTAAGAGAATGAAAGAAAAAAAAACTTTTTAATATCAAGGTTATAACATAGAAGATGAACATGCATGGTACAAAGCAGCTTCACGACATGTCTTGGCATATCTACTCTGTACACCAGTTTTCTATTGAAGGGTTGGATCTAAAATGACTCTCTTCTGCATCTATATGGAAATAGTCTTCAGCAAATACCTACAAGCTAACCTTGAGAATCACTTTATCCCCATCAGCAATTGCAAATTAATTACTCCCTTGTAAACAAAAGCATCAGTCACTAAAAGCGAGGTCTGAGTCAGATGCAAATATCTTCAAAAGCCATCACAATTTTAAAAAAGGCATGGCCTTGAAACTATGGGTAACTATATTCACCAGAGATTCAACAACTTATGAGAGCTGAGGAAAAATTGCTCACATAGATGAAGATACAACCACAGCTTTGCTTGGAAACTATGCCCAAAGCCTTGGGAATTGCTTGACTGAGTTATAGAGGGGCAAAAGTTTAACAACTTCCTAATTAAGAGTTTGTCAAACTTGACATTGTGAGCATTAATTTATCCATGTTTAAGTGACATACAGTACGTGAGGCTGAATTAAAAGTGGCACTAAGACTTTAAATACTGCTCTACTGCTCTCACCATCAACACGCCTTAACAGCGATCTACCTAAGTAGGCCAATCTTTCATGCATAGTCCATCTTCTTGGGCCAAAGGCAGTTCATACTATTTGAATTTTAAGCTAGTCTCATTTTGAAAAAAGGATTAAAGTAAGATAACTTTGACAGCCATAGCTGATAAGAGCTTCTGGTGACAGTTGTCCTTCTTGCTTCTGCTTGAGTCCTCTATTGACTGAAACAGATCAGCGAAATTTTTAATCAATTACAAACTGATGTGAATACTGAATGTGATTGAGTACATGCATTCAAATTGTTACCAGTGTTACTAATGGGTTGGGATTTCAGCTAAAGGTCAATTGCTGCTGGGTACAAATTGGTCATTAATTATTGACAGAATAAAAAATGTTTGAGGGCGAGCTTAGAGGTAGATTTTGCACTGAAGTCATTCCCTGATGAGCCAGCTAATTGTGTTTTCTCGGGTAATGACTTTTCTGCCATCGTCATCTGTGTGGTAACAAATCAACGCACCTTAACGAACCAGTTTGTCTTCTCTCTGTGTTGCTGCTTCAACATCAAAAAGTGAATGTACCAGATAATTTCATAAAGCTCAAGAGTGCAACAGGTTAAGGAACGCCTCCCATCACTGCTAGGCTAGACTGTGTTGCTGGACAAATTATATAAAAAGACAGAGAGATATGCAAGGTTCGTGGTTTTTACCCTGGAGATATTATCAACAACTTGAGACCATAGACTGTATATAGAATGGACACCGTCTGCCTCCTCGCTGGGTGAAGCCTCCATGAGAACAGCACCCTCTGGTGACGGGCTGCAGTATAGGTCATAAATCCCGCCTCCTCCAGCAATCCCTATGGAGCCGTGGACAAACTTTAGAAATTAATAACACTGAATATAATTTTCACTCCCCCCTGCTTGCGATGTTGACATGTAGTTAAGTAAGACTGATTTGTGCTCAAGTCCTCTTTTTTCTGTGCAGCTCTATTTTTAATAGTTATCAGGGGCTGCATGTTTTCTATGATTGACACTTGAAATAACCTATGGGTGTACGAAGATTGCGTAGCTCACCCGGGGGATACACTGTTTGAGCCGAGCGTCATCACAGTGACTCGGCAACTCTCCCGCCGAATGCGAACAATGCTACCATGCAAGTGGTGGAGTGCGTACAACGCTACTGCGCAATGTTGGTTTCAGGAAGAGTAGAAAAATCACTGAAATACTGAGAGAAATACTGAAATACTTCGGCTTCAAATCCGTATACTGGCGGACACCGGATCCAAGTTGTCATAGTATATACAGTCTATGCTTGAGACACACTTGCAGCCAAAACTCGACCAGGTTTCTGTGTACAGCAGCACTTTTGAGCCCATGCAAAAATAATGATGTGATATTATTATTCAACACAACGTTCAGTCAGCCTTTAAAAACTTATAGCTTGACTTACTCCTCTACTGATACTTCATTTGAATTTTTAGCCCACTTGTCCTTTGTTTGTTTTTTTTCTCATCTGCATTAGAAGGCAGTGAAGGGTAAATGATATAAAATTCTTCACAGGCACAATGAAGCCTTGGCTATTTGGACTAAAATGGAAAACTTGACACTAATGCAGTGAGATTATAATCCCCAGGATTCCTCTTAATGGGGTGAGAGAAGGCCGGCTAATAAGCTAAGTTTCACTTGTTAAGAGGATTATGTTTTGTTTCAACTAAATGGGATTAATAACCACTGACTCAATACTCTTTGTCATTGGACAGGATCATGAGCTGAAGTTTACTTTCATGACTGTCACCCACTGTCGAACAATAACTTAATTATTCTCTACTGACCTGTGGGGCATGAAGACAGAAAGCAGGATGAATAGACGGTGC